ACTTTTGTGCATGGCGAGAGAAAGGGATTCAGTTTCATTTTGTTGCATATGGATTTCCAGTTTTCCCAGCACCATTTGTTGAAGATGCTATCCTTCCTCCATTGCATGCTTTTAGCCCCTTTATCAAATATAAGGTAGTTGTAGTTTTGTGGATTGGTTTCTGTGTCCTCTATTCTGTACCATTGGTCCACCCGCCTGTTTTGGTACCAGTACCATGCTGTTTTTGTTACTATTGCTCTGTAGTATAGTTTGAAGTCTGGTATCGCTATACCACCTGATTCACACTTCCTGCTTAGCATTGTTTTTGCTATTCTGGGTCTTTTATTTTTCCATATGAATTTCATGATTGCTTTCTCTATTTCTACAAGAAATGCCGTTGGGATTTTGATTGGCATTGCATTAAACCTATAGAGAACTTTTGGTAATATCGCCATTTTGATGATGTTAGTTCTGCCTATCCATGAACAGGGTATATTTTTCCATCTTCTAAGATCTTCTTCTATTTCTCTCTTTAGGGTTCTGTAGTTTTCATTGTATAAGTCTTTCACCTCTTTTGTTAGGTTGATTCCCAAGTATTTTTTTTTTTTTTGAGGATATTGTGAATGGAGTGGTTGGCTTTGACCATTTTTAAATGAAGTTGTTTTCTTACTGCTGAATTTGAGTTGTAAGTTATTTGGCTTTGATATAGATTATGTATTTCTAAGTTGTTTGCTTTTCAAGTCAATTCACTGTCTATCATGGATTATCCTCCTTTGTTAAGTTTCTAATAATAATAAACTATTTAGTCAGCTTTTTTTGCTGCTGTGACTGAAAGACCTGACAAGAATTTTAGAGAAGAAAAAGTTTGGTGCTCGTGGTTTTAGAGATTTCAATGGCTCTAGTTTGACGCTTATGATTTCAGAGGTACTCTTGTTGCTCTGGGTCTGAGGTGAGGCACAACACCATGGTAGAAGGGTTTTGGAGGAGGGAAGCAGCTCAGACATGGCAATAAGGAAGTGGAGAGAGAGCTCCATTAACCAGGGGAAAAAATATAAACTCCAAAGGCACGTCTCTGGTGACCCACCCCCTCCAGCCACACTCTATACCTGCTTATAGGTACAGCCCAGTTAATCCATGTTAGGGGATTAATGGCACTGATTGTGTTAGGGAACTCATAACCCAATTATTTCACCTTTGAAATTTCTTTCATTGTCTTATACATGAGCTTTTGGGGGACAAAAACTAAAAAACTCACATCTAAACCATAACAGAAATTAAAGTGTTAAATTATAGAAGAACCCCCAACATAGGAAGTAAAACAAATAGACATTTAAAGATTCCCCATTCCTTCATTACTCACCTTCTTAATGATTCTTCATGTAAGATGAGGATTTTTGTATTTGTCTGTCTTTGGGGAAAAATTTATTAGGCATTTCATATTGCACCCAACCTTGTGATGCAGTTTGCTTTCTAGAATTTGAAATCTAATTTAATTGTGAAGGTTACTTTGTAGTTTACAGACTGCTTCACGTTATTTGAGGTAGTGGCAATTACCAAGTCCAAGTTCTATGGTTGATTTTAGAAGTTTTTTTTTAATTTACCATTGCTTTTAATAATTCTTTTTGGGGATGTTTTTGTTACTCACGGCAATTTCTGCATGACTTGTATCTAAGATTTGATTAAGTCATTATGTTCTCCAGCAAATCTTTTATAAAGCTTTTAACTTTTAGCAAACTATACTGACTGGAGTACATACAGCGGTCAGAGGGTGCTTCCGGTTAAAATTTATTTCAGAATGTAAATTCAGAGTCCTATAACTGTGACTATCTAGATTTTACTTGAGTTTTATAATTTTCTCTCCTGCCCCCTATTAGATGTGTTAGAAAAAAATACTTAAGTGATAAAAATGTTATTTGCTGCCAATATTTTATCCACATAGTCTCATTGATTAGAGAAAATAATTTATCATGATCATTATTTGTATTCTTCATCCTGACAGGAAATATTTGTTCTGAATATTTTGTTAAAATTTATGAAATATGAACAATTTTTAATAGGTAATTTGCAGTTATTTGCTAGCCCATAAGTAGTCAAGTTTAGAATTCAGTCCTGAGTTGATCAAAGGATCAGTCTGGGATTGTTTTCTTTCAGGTATGATTTTTGTTTTAAGTTCGATTTGGAAATACTTAATAAATTCATTTATTAAAGCCTAACATGAATTATTAGCTTTGTGGGAAAAAATGTTGGATCTAACATTTTTTCCATTGGCAAATCCTAGATTATGTAGATTGATAAACCTTAGGGTTGCCTGTGAAATCTGATTCTTATCTTCTTGTAATCCATAATTGCCTAAATTTTAAATGTCATCTCAGCAGAAATTAAAGTTGAGCAAAGTATATGAAATATTTTTGAAAAATTTAAAAGCTTCCTTTTCTGTAGTTAGAAAGTTTATGGAAGAGTGTCAGTTTTTTTTTTAACCCTAAAAATAATGTGAATTATAAAGAATAAATAGCATTAAAAATTATTAGAGCTGAATTTTAGACACTCTGACATACTAGTCTATAAATGGGTATAATTCTTTGCTTTTATCCCAAGAGGTATTATAAAAACATTTTGAATGAATGTGTATTTGCTCCCCGTAGGATAAAATGCTTTGAATCACTTTCTAAATTGTTGTTATTGTTCTTTTAAGAGTAAAATTCCATTTGGAATTAAAGCCGGGCCTTCTAATAAGGTGAGTCACTTCTTCCTTGAATATTTCTGCTTTACAAAGTAACACTAGTCATTTATAATACTTGACAGTTGTTGCAGCAGAAAACCATAGTATAGTTAGTTGGGCCAGGAGATGTTTTGCCTCTGGATTCCAAATCCCTAATCCTTGCAGCAAGCTGAAAGGTCCTATATTCCTAGCTCCTTTTGAAGTTATTTCAGGTCTGTCTGTGGAACTTTTAGAAGAACCTTGAACTAGCGTCAGATCACCTATTCAACAAGTGTTTTATCATATGGGTGCTTTTAATCTTCTCTTTCAACTAGTCTACCTGTTAAGATTCAGGATTCTATTGGATGAAGAAAATAATTAGGCTGTTTTGAGCAGAGTGCATTTTTAGATGTTGTTAAACTGCCCCTTATTAAAGATTACCTTTTTGTTCTTAGGAGCATGCCATAATTAATTTTTCAATTTATATTTTTGGGTACCAGTTTACTTTTAGTTTTTCACTATTGGACGTGTGTAATGAAGATCATCATTCCCTCTTTCTGCCTTCTTCTTATACATTCTCTCCATTTTCTTCTTGCACTTGCCCATGTATTGTATGTGCTCACTTTCTTGTATCTTTGTTTCAAATCTATAATAAAACCATATAAAGGCAGTTAAAGCCCACAACACCTCCTCAATTCCATGTTTCCCCCCGCCCCGGGAAACCATTTTTCTGTGGTTTTATATTCTTGTTATGCTCTTATCCACAAGTATTATGTATATTATTTTGTGTAAATTTTTTAAAAATTTTAGATATTTATTTATTTCTTCAAGTTGAAAACTCTTTTTTTTTTTCTTTCCTTTTTTGGTAGCAAATTTGGGCCTCTCTACTTCTATACTATGTGTTCCCCAGCCCTTTTTAGACAGTGTCTCACTAAGTTGCCCAGGTTGCCTCAGCCTCCAAAGTAGCTGGGATTATAGACATGTGCCACAGTGCCCAGCCTTTACTTATTCTTAGGGTTTTGAATTTTTTTCTCTTTTGATATCTGTGGATTTTGTTCATTCATTCTGATAACTATATAGTAGTCAGTTATATGACCTTATATGGAGTAAAAGTCCTCTATACATCAACATTTCACTTGTTTCCAGTTTTTGCTATTGTAAAAAATGATGCACTAGTATTTTGTTTCATTGTGCACATAGGTAATGTTCCTCTAGGTCTGGGTTTAGAAGTAGGATTGCTGGACCATAGGCCATGCCTGTTTCAACGTAACAAGACATTAACAAATAACTCTGGAAGGTGATCCTGCCTTTTGTTTTTAAATTATTGCCTTAGATATGGTCTCATTAATAACACTGCTAGTTTTAAGAGTTTATACATTTTTATTACTCTAGATTTTATTAAATTTCTATCCCAAATGAGTTTTCGGATTTGTCATCACCAACGCACTGATGCCAGTTGTTAAAATGTTCATCTTTGCTTGTTTAATAGGTAGAAATTTGTGCCTCATTTTTATTACTATTTCTTATATATGTTAGGGATTTTGATAATAGGATGCATCTATATTTAATGTATATCTGTATTGACAGATTGTTCTGCTAGTGGAAGCTGAGCAAGAGAAAATTGTTCTTAAACTTATGGTTAACTTCCTTGCAGTACTTGAAAGTGGCAAACAATACCAAAGAATTACAAGATTGTGAGCAAGCTAATAAACTGGGAGCAATTAACAACACATTAAGGCAAGTTTAACTTAATAGTATTAAAAGATATTCTCTAGTTTAATATCAATTGTCTTTTTTTCTTGAGATTTTGGAAAATTATTTTTGCTAAACATTAAATTTTCAGCTAATAAATATTTAATAATAATAAACTTAAATTCCATAATAGTTTTGCCTCTTTCTTGGCCTTTTTGTTCTTAAATTTCTTTGATGTATCATAAATAGCAAATATATTAAAAAGTAGAAATTTAGATTACTCAGCGGGGCTTATGGGTCTTGAAACTTTTTTATAAATAGTAGTTCAGTCTACATATTTAATTTGAATGTTATATTTTGAATGACAATTTATTTCCATAAGTTTCATAGATTTTTTTTACCTACTGACTTCATTATTTACTCTAAGCAGACATTTGTTTTTGAAGGCCAATATAAATCATTTATAAATAGTTGCAGCTTATGCAGTGTAAAATAACTGAATGTAATCTGTTAGGAATAGATTATTGCAGACATTCTTTTTAACTTCTAATTGTTTGTATTTGTGCACATAATTGATAAGACTCATAATAAATTTAGTAATCTTATTTAATATTAAAAATCTTAATATAGAAAAGTAAAAGGGATAATATAATAAATGCCTTTATAACTCTCATTTCAAATGAACAAACTTCCAGAGCAGAGAGATTGTTCTTGTCCTTCACATTTTTGCAAACAGTTGGTAATGTTTGATTACTGAAATGGCTATGGAAATTACTGAATGCTATGGAAAAAAGTAAGGGAAGAAGAATGCAGAGGGCTCAGAGTGAAGGGGGTGGCACTGTTTGAAATTGAGTGGTCAGGGGAAGACCTGAGTGATAACAGGACATTTGAGGATAGTGCTGAAAAAGGTGAAGGCTGAAGTTACCATATGGCTGCCTAGGAGTGTGCATCCCAGGTAGTACCTGAAGTGTTCGTGAGGAGACCAGTGGCAGGGCATGCCTAAACTATGAGGAAACACAAGAATACTGGTGTGGCTGGCCTACAGGGATCAAGGGCAAAGTAGTACAAGACAAGGTCAAAAAATGTGAGGGGTGGAGGTGGAGTGGGTGGGGTGGGTGGAGATCTTGTAGAGCCTGGAAGGCACTTGTAATGAATATTGCTTTCATGGGAGTGAAATGCAAAGTGATCAAAGGATCTTGAGCACAGGAATGAGAGTGTGTTTAGGGAGCCCTATACCATGCTGTAGAAGCCTGGTTATGAGATATTGTAGTAATCCAGGTAAGACCTATGGTGGTTAGACAGTTGATAGCAGTGGAAACTATGGGAAGTGTCAGATTCTGGACATATTTGAAGATAGGGCTGACAGTATTTGCTGAAGGATTGGGTATGGAATATGAAAAAGGAGCTTTATGGATGACTGTGAGATTCATGTTCTTGAGTTAGGAAGTTTTATTTTTTTGTCTACATGTAGTATTCTATAGTATTTCCACCCTACTGTTGATATCTGGATGTTTTCCACTTAGGGGAACATTTCACAAACATTTTAGTGCACGTGTGCATTTCTAGAGAGAATATTACTAGGAATGAAATTAAGTACTGCCAAATGGTTTTCCAAAATTGTTGTATCAAGTTACATTACTGCTAGCAGTGCCTAAAAGTTCTTAGTTCCACATCTTCTCTAATTCTTAAATGGCTTTATTTTGAGGTATTATTGGCATATAATGCAGTGCACATATTTGAAAATGCATATATACACATAAAACATCACAATTAAGACAGCTTATCATATCTGTTCCCCTCCCTTCTTACCTCCTGGTCTCTCATGCTGCTTTTTTAAAAAAATACGTGTGTGTGTGTATATGTGTGTTTGTGTGTGTGGGGGGGGTAGTTGGACACAATATCTCTATTTAGTTAATTTATTTTTTTTTATGGTGCTGAAGATCAAACCCAGTGTCGAGCACATGCTAGGCAAGTGCTCTACCGCTGAGCCTTTTCTAACTACCCATTTCCCAGTTGAAGACTGTAACTCACAGCAGCATCTTTATGGAAACATTGGGTTAAGTCCAAGAAAGTCTTATGTAAATAGCTTTGCATCCATCCCCAAACTGTCTTTTTGAAAAGTTTAAATAGGTGACCTCTGGTTCCTTCTAGCCCATGTATAAATTACACTGGGTGAGCTCTGTTAGCTTTAGGTAAATATTCAGTTCTTTTCCACTAAAATGTCTTTAGGCAAGTATTAGATTGAAGTACTTAGCAAAAGCCTTATCAAATAATAGTGCACAAAGAAAAATGTTTTTGCAAGTCAATCATATTGTTAACCAGAAAAAAGGAATTAACTTATTATTTTCAACGTAAGATTTATCTTATTAAACAACAATAGTTATGTCATTTTAGATCTTAGGCATTCTTGTTTGTGGTGTCATATTTCACCTGAATCAACTATGATACAAAGGTTTTCATAAACTTATTAAGTTAATTATTCCCATTGAAAAAATATCCTACAGTAAATTTAATTGAAAATTATGTAGTGCAGCCAGCCTTAAACACTTAATTGTTTGTGGTTATGTAGCAGTTTCTCAAAATAAATTCTTGGCTATGATAGTAATACATTTAGGGATTATCTGATTTAATACTTTATACATATTTTTTACCTTGTTTTTTCCTTTGTGAAGTGAATAAAGAAGGGAAGCAACATGATGCTTCTTTGATAGATGTTTGCCATCATGTGTTCAAGACAGAAGGCCTGAATATAGATAAAAATGAATGTAGGTCAGAGTTTGAATTAATACAGTTGTTCTTTTCAAGTTAGAAATCTTTGTCATAGATTTTGCTAAATGATGAGGTAGAATGTAAGATGAATGATAACTCCATGACGAAAGTGACTTTGGTGTAACTAATGATGGTACATTAGATTGAGAGATAGTAGAAATGCAGTTCTTGGTATTTTGGATTCTATCAATATAAAAGCAATTTCAATTTTTAAAATTCTGAAAGTTTATTTAGTTCCTACTTAAGGAAAAACAAACATTACTATAATTTCTAAGTCATTTGAAATAGCAAGCCTGATTTTTATGTTTGTAAGTTTATGTATTTATAAATTAATTTTTAGTCAAAATTATTGGGCTGGGGATGTGGCTCAAGCGATAGCACGCTCGCCTGGCATGCATGCGGCCCGGGTTCAATCCTTAGCACCATATACGAACAAAGAGGTTGTGTCCGCTGAAAACTAAAAAAATAAAATAAAATATTTAAAAAAAATTTTTTTAAAGTATTTTTAAAAAATTTATTAATATTTTAATGGTACTGGGGATTGAACCCAGGGATACTCTACCACTGAGCTACATCCCCAGCCCTTTTTAAAATTTTAAGACAGGTTCTTACTAAGTTGTCCAGGATGGACTTGAACCTGGATCCTCCTGCCTCTGCCTCCTGAGTAGCTGCAATTACAGACATGCAGTACAGTGCCTGTCTCAAAATTGTTTTGGAGCCTGGGATAATAATCATTTTAATATAGTTAAGAAATATAAATCACTTGTGGAAATTACTATATCTGTGTTTTTCATATGACTTGTTTTCATTATTCATGTAACCACTAATAATGGAATTTGTGATTCATCTAATAAAAAATGACCTTAGACTATTATTTTAATTATACTTGAATACATTGTTAGAATTTTTAACTCCAAGTTGAAAGATTTTTCTTTTTATTCCTCTTTCCTGTAGTAATCAAAGCAAAGAAGCTTTCATTGACTGGGCAAGATATGATGATTCACAGGATCACTTTTGTGAACTTGATGGTAATAAAAAAAACTGTTGTAATTAGATTATCTTAACTTTAACCTTTTTCATAAGACATTTAAATAAAAATATAATTTGAATTACAGCTTAACACTGGATTTTGCTATGTAGGTCTTATTTATAACAGCATATATGGAGAACCTGTGTTCCTGGTGTTAAGCGCCTTAAATACTTTTGTCTTTACAGCTAGCTTAATGGGTATATATAATTTTATATCTGAGAAAACTGAGTGTCAGAAAGACTAAAACAACTTGCTCCAAATCACACTAGCAAGAGGCTGAGGCAGAATTCAGTCCTGAATTCAAAACCTGTGTTCTCTCCACTACAACATACCATGTCTTATGCAAATTCATTTGAAGACACTTGGTTATAATATGTGAACATATTATAAAATGTTTACACTGGAATTTGCTGGAAGTTTCAACAAACTCATATAAAGATGCCCTCCGATATTGGGAGGATGATAATTGGACTTCTCCACAGCAGCAGTGTCTCTTTCCAAGAAAAAATACACAGAATACTATTCGGCAGAGCAACTACCACTTCCTTAACAGAAGGTAATTGCTGTGACTCAAAACTTTTGATTTATAGGATGTTTCCATAGAGCTGCAGTATAGTCTGAAATCATTCATTTGGCCTCTTCTCACCTTTTATTTTCGTATTGTTAAATTTTTGGTGGCAGGGAAGAATTGGGTTTAAGCATGCACAGTTGGAAATGGATAGAAGTTTTTTGAATTCTTCAAGGATCTAAAGTAATCATACCAATTTATAAATGTTTAAAAAGGGTTCACAGGTAGAATTGTGCTATTCTATTAATTGTGCTATTAATCTGTGAAGTATATTATAGTGGGCTTCTACTATAGGATGGTGAATTGAGAAGAACAATGGAAGATGGAATGTTATCATGGTTTTTAAATTTCAGCAAAGAAATTAAAAATATTTGCGAGATTTCTTTGCTCATTTGTATGTGTGTGTGTGTGTGTGTATATATATATATATATATATATATATATATATGCATGCAATTAAGGAAATAGTCTCCATTATGATACTTAGAATTGGCAGGTTTTGTCAGCAAGACATTATATCTATATTAAGAACTCTTATCACTGCTTATGCTTATTTAGTCTTTTGTTCTAATTGAGTTTAGTGTTTAACACTATGGTTATTTCTTTCCAGTTTATCATTTTACCTGTTTGATTAAAATAAAATAATTCAATCATGGTTATTTAATAGGTTTTCTGATTAGTCATTTCTGTGAATATATATATTATAGTAAATTGGGTATTTTATAAAAATACTATTTAGTTGCAAGCATTATTTGTATAAATAAGTTGATGTGTTATATTTCCCATTATTAAATACATGTTAACTATTTTTTTAAACATTAGTTTCTTAAATTGCTGAAATGAAAGAGGTATCCTATAAGAATTTAAATAAAATAAAATCACTCTTTAAGATTTTTAGGATTACATATTTAAAATAGGAATTTTTATATTTTATGTAATTCTTATGCAAATAAAACCATGCTCCCCTTACTAACTGGGTTGCTGCTACTCTTTTTTGCATAGTAATGTTCATCTGTTTCCCAGTGATTTATAGATAATTTTTTATTACAGTCAGTGAAGATTTTAGAATCATTGTTTAATTATTCCTGTTATCAGAATTCAGTAGATCAAAATTAAACTTGAAGAAAATTAACCCCAGTTTATTAGGGAAAATATCCATGTTTCTGTTTCTTGCTGTTTTGTTGTTGGTATTGTCTCTGAATGGAAGATGATCTCTAAAGATCAAATAGTTTTTAAATAATTTGGCAGTTTAATAGTAAGGTAAGCTGCCCTTCCTATCCTACTCTTATTTTTTGCTATTGTCTTTATTCATGGCTTGACTCCTCTCTGGTTCAGGTTTCTGCTCAAATGTCAAAGAAGGCTTCTCTCATGTCTATACAGAATAGTAACCAGGATCACTCTCAGACTCTCTGCACTTCTGGTTTCCATCCACCCCCCACCCCCACTGACAACCTCCTGATGATATGTGGCCTTTTATTTAGGCTGTGCGTTCATGGTCCTCTTCAGTTAGATTGTGAGCTGCTCAAGGGCAAAGGGCTTTCTCTTGCTGGCTCTCTACTGTATTAGTGCCTAGAACAGTGCCTTAGGTGCTTAATAAATATTTGTTGAATGAAGTAATTGGTTCATAAATCACCTAAATGGCATGATAGGTTTTAATTTTCCTTTTTTCCCCTGAAAACATGTTTATTAATACATTTAAAGTACTGTTTAGAACAGTAGTTTTAAAATCTGAAGATCTAAATGACTTGACAGCTTTATAAACTTAGATTCTCCTCTACTGTGTAGACCTTGTTTTAATAGTTAGTAGCAGTCTGGGATAGGGTTGATGATGGACGGCTGTAGGCTTAATCCTGAGTTCATAACATAATATTTTAAATATAAGCAAAAACCTGAATCCTAAATTGATTATTCTATGTTAATATGTTTTAAGAGATTGGTGGGTGACAGGACAGGGCTGAATATCTGATACACTAGAAAATGTGGCATGACCTTAAAAGCATTACTATTAAATTAGGGCAGTGAAAGGCAAATTCACTTGAGAAAAATGGTATTCTTAAGGAGGAGGAAAAAGACAATAGTTCAATTTGATGAATTCCCATAATTAGAAATCTTGATTCAGTGAAAGTCATTGAATCCCTAGGTAATGACATATACAAAGAACAGCTTTGTAGAGGGAGGAAGAAGAGAAAATTTTCTTGAGGGAGGACATAGTACTGGGGGCAGAGGTCCTCTGTAGGCCACTTTTTGTACCAATGTAAGTTAACTGTTTCCTGTGCTTTTATTTATATAATGGAATATCTATAATTCTAGAGCTAGAAATAGAGCCAATATCTTATATTTTTAAAGTATGTTTCCATTTTCTGTGATAGACACTAGCATCTAATAATGGCAATTTGCAGTTACCTTTGTATTTTTTCTGTATCATAAAATAACTGATAATTCTTAGAAGACACGGATCAAGGTACCAGTTTCCCTTTATTCCCAACCGTGGTCATCAAATGTCCAATGAGTTTTGCTTACTGACAGGAAAGTACACTGTTAGATAAGGAAAGGAAGAAGAACAGTAGTGATCACATTTGGCCCCCATTGTAAGCCATATGTCTGTGTACTGTTTATTTAATCTCATGCCATCAAAAGGTAGTGAGAAATACATTTATGCCAATGTATGTGAGACTTGTGGAGCATAGTTACAATAATTTTATCGTCAGAAGTTTTTTTTAGGTATGAAATTGTATGTTTTCTTTTTTGACTGGGAATGTGAGCCTTAGTAATTAAGAATGTTTTTCTTTTTATCTCTGTTAAAATGTCCAAATAGTAGAGATTTAGGAAATCCTTATTTGGGTTTCATTGTGGAAAATAGTCAATTTTACATGTTCAACAAATTTTTGAAAATTGCTCCTACCATGAACTAGTTTGAGAGTAAAAAAAAAAACCACAATATGTTAACACTAGTAAAATGTAAGATTTTTAAAAACTAGAACATTTCTCTATGAATGCTTGGATTTGAATCACAAAGTTATTGAGCCAATTGCTTTTTAAGACCCATGAAGAGAGAGAGAGAGAGTAGCAGCGACCTTTTTTTTTTTTTTTTTAATGGCATTAAGAGTTGAAACCAGGAATGCTCTGCCATTGAGTTCAATTCCCAGCCTTTATTAATTTTCTGTTTTTGAGACAGGGTTTCACCAAATTGCCAAGGTTGGCCTTGAATTTGTGGTCCTTCTGCCTCAGCCTCCCAAATAGCTAGGATTATAGGCATGTGCCATTGCACTCAAGGAAATCTGTATTTTAAATATAAAATGTCTTAAAATCAGTTTCTAAGTCCATGGTAGTTGGGTATATACTTAGAGAAGAAATCATATAAAACAATAGTTCTGTTAGATCTTTTCATTCCTAGGTGGCTAAAACTAATAAGGTGAGGGATGTTAATTTTCTTAAGAGCACTGAGTATCCAAAGGAAAGGGAAAAGTTGCTTTTTTGCTTCAGATAATTTGTCCAAGTTTTAACAAATGCTGGGTCAAGTAGTCACAAGTGTGTGAACCACTCTACCATGTAAGTTGGCAGTGACTTGAAAAACGGCATTTTCCAAGCTTTTGGGTAGCTCTGTTTGCTTTATAATGCCAAATTCTAGGCAAATGGTGAGACATGGATGACTTTTATGAATCATTTCTTGTTCAGATGAGAGATCTCCTGCTGCTCAGTATGTAGATCTGTTGCTGAACCCAGAGCGTTACACCGGCTATAAGGGGTCCTCTGCGTGGAGAGTGTGGAACAGCATCTATGAAGAGAACTGTTTCAAGTAACAGGGAGGAGGAGGGGGGGAAGAGGAGATATTTATTTCTGTTCTGAAAAGATTATGTATAAAAGTCAAACCATTTTACGTTTTGGGTTTTGTGTTCTTTTTTAGGCCTAGGTCTGTTTATCGTCCTTTAAATCCTCTGGCCCCAAGTCGAGGTGGGTTTTTATACATTTTCATGCTTTTAAAAATTGTTTATATTTTTATATTTTATATTTTTTAATTTGAATGATTTACAAAATATGAGATTATTTTGTAGGTAAGTCTTAAGATTCCTATACATCTTCTATAATTATCATTTTTTGAGTGCCTGCTATGTGCCAGCCCTAAAATAGGAACTTTACATAGAATAAATTAGAATATGTGAATAATCCACATACACCAGAGCTTTCCTGGGAAACTTTTAAAAATTTGAGTGCCCTGTAGCAGTGAAGGACCTAGGCATCCATGTTTTTTAAATTCAGCAGATGGTTCCAGTGTGCAGCTCAGTTTCAAAACCAGTGGCTCATCACAGTGCTTCTGAAACCTGTGTGTGTGCAGATTCCCTTGCAGCCTGGTTAGTGAACAATAGGTCTGCTGCTGTAGGCATTGGTGGGGCACAGGGTCTGGATAAGCTCCCATGCACTGCCTGGAGTGCTCACCCCCCAGCACATTTTGAACAGGAAGAGAAAGAATTGAGGCACTCCGACTGCACTCAGCAGAGCTTTACACCCCATTGTCCTGTAGGGGCCTGTTGCTACGTGGACCACTTAAAATGTGGCCAGTGTGAAACTAAGTTGTAAATTTTATTTACTTTTAATTCATTCAAATGTAAGAGTGTAAGGTACTTTTGCAGCTAAACAGAGTTGTCTTGGTAGTTTGTTTTAGTAGGTAACATCAGTGCAATGCCATGTGCACTTTTTACTTTGAAAAATGTGACTGTTAGAAAAGCTTTAGGTGATGTGTGGCTGGAGTGATACTCTGACTGACAGCATTGCTGAAGTCAGCTGGCATGTGCTCATTTTGTCCTCAGTGAAAAACCAAACCCTGGGAACAACCCTCTTATTGACCTGCCAATGTTTTCTTTAGACCAGGGTTAAGAAATTGAATTTCCTGGTCTAGATTTGAATCTTTGGCCTTTCTCAGGGCCAGATAGACTTAGAAAGATTGAATGCATAGGCTGCTTATAGATGCTTACTGTCGAAATGAGGGAAATGTTCTCCAAATTCATTCTGAACTGCCTGGAGAAGGGAATTGGACCTTGAAAAAGGCTGGCATGCCTTCTTACCCTTTTACTGCTTTTACCTTAGAACTTTTCTCTTTCAACCTAAATGTTTTTAATTATACAATTTTTTTAATATTTATATTTTTTAGTTTTAGGTGGACATAATATCTTTATTTTTTAATTTTTATGTGGTGTTGAGGATCGAACCCAGCGCCCCATGCATGCCAGGCGAGTGCGCTACCGCTTGAGCCACATCCCCAGCCCCCAATTTTTCTTATATTTATTTTTTAGTTGGACACAATATCATCTTTATTTCACTTATTTATTTTTATGTGGTGCTGAGGATCGAACCCAGGGCCTTGCCTGTGCTAGGTGAGCACTCTACCGCTGAGCCCCAGCCCCATTAATTATACAAAATTTTATAAAAATTGAAGCAACAGAAGTTATATAAAGTGAAATGGAAAGCCTCCTCCCTTGCTTTCTGTTCCACAGTAGAGTTTGGAAGGAATTCTTCCAACCTTTTCCATGGTTACCTTTTCTACATTTAAAGCAGAAAATACAATCATTCACTTAAAACCACCAAGTACTGGGGCTGGGATTGTGGCTCAGCGGTAGAGCATTCCCCTAGTACGGGCGGGACCCGGGTTTGATCCTCAGCACCACATAAAAATAAAGGTATTGTGTTGTATCCATCTGCACCTAAAAAATAAATATTAAAAAAAAAAAACACCAAGTACTAAGAAACTCATTTCCATGTTATGATAAATCAGACATGAAACTGCTAGAAAAGAAGAGAGGAACGAAATCGTTGTGATAGTGAAAGAAGAGGAGAAAGGAAGGAAAAAAGTATGAAAGAAGAAAAAGAAAGCTAGGCCAGAGGAGAGGCTGGGCTCCAGCTGTCACAGCTTTCCTGAAGTAGTTCCACAGCTCTTGCTGATCTGCTTGCAAGCTGTCACCATTGAAATGCTAGTGGAGAGCTCTTCAGCCTTCTCAGCTCTGTTTCTCTGCATGATTCCTGAGTTGTAATAGCTAGGCTTCTACAGCTATTTTTCTAAAAGTTTTTGAGCACCAGAACATTTATTTCCCTCCAAAACACAAAGTGGTCCATCAGAGATCCTCAAGTGAAGCTGGCAGAAGTGATCTGTGGAGCCGAGAGCCCAGCCTCCTGGCCTTTTCCTACCTCTTGTGGCCCAGGGGCAGGCCTTCCCTGACATTCACAAGAAGGGCTGTGTTAGAGAGCAGTAATGGGAGAGAAACTACTGTATACCCTTGCTAATTACTAAAATTAGTGTTCTTTATGGTTGTTTTGGTCACTTTGTGATGTCTTATTTTTTGCATAAAACATGGAAATCTTTAGCCTATATATTCTTATTATGCCATGTTTCAGGATGACTAAACACTGACCAAGGTTTTTGATATAAGGAATACTTTAACAATAAATTTTAATCCAATATTTTAAAAGGATTCATTTTGGAACCTGAACTAAATAGAACCTGAAAATGAAGGCATTTTCTAAATTTTTAAATTTTCTCTTTTAGGTGAAGATGATGGTGAGTTGAAACTCTGTTTTATGTTGACTCCAAGTGTAGAAGAAATGTTTTCAATTATCAAAATTGGATTTTTTCCTCTTTTGATTCAAGAGAAAATGTTGATCCTTCTTTTTTTTTTTCCTTCAGAAAATAGCTACCAGTGACTGACAGAAAACAAGATTTTAAAAAATAGTTATTCTGTGTTAAAAATATATATAAAGACCATTTATCTAAGCGTATAATATAGGAATCGGCTTCACATTCTAAGTTTCCTACTTTCTGGTTATTAAAATCTATTTGAATATATTCTGAGGAAATGTAGTACAGTTAACATAGTTTTACCTATAATGTTACCTCTTTATTTTCTTCCTGACTTTTTAACATCAGTTCTCAGTGTAATACTTAATGAACAGTTGCTTACTTCAGGTGACTGAATGAACATCCATCATAAGATACCCCAAACAGCTGAGGTAGTGACTTCAGTTGAAGGTTTTCTTATCTGTGATCAAAATCAATGCACTGGGTAGGATAGGAGATGGGCAGAACACTGGGCCTTCCCTCAGGAACTGACATGCATAGGAAGAATGATAAGCACTCTGCTTTATAATGAAGCTAAGGGGAGAAGTGTGTGGTTACTGCTATAAACTGGAAGTGGTGCAGCTCCTCAGGTAAAGCAAGTCATATGCTGCTGGAGGGATATAGGAAAGCTAACTGGAGGTGGTGGCTTTTGAGAAGAATTTTAAGTTAAGGAACAGATTTGGACCAGATTTGGACAATACAAACTTGGAGGAAATAGCATGAGCCTACAAGATGAGCAAGGAAAAGTCAAAAAGCCTGTTGGGAAACAATAAGACCACCCTGTTAGCAGTGGGAAAGACTATGTTATTGGTCCTTTAAAGTGCTGGATAGAGGTCAAACTATTGAAGACTGAGATTTATCAGGTACAGTTGAGATTTTTTGAATAAACAGTTGAGATAATAATGATCCTTGGTAAGTTTAAGTTGAATGAATGACTTTCTAGAGAGATGTTTGTGTAGTTTGTAAAGTATTAAAACTTAGGAGGCAAAGGAAGTCCCATCATGGAATTAATCTCCTAGACTCTGTCACTCTTTTCTAAATTAAAAATAAATACATAGGAATTTAGGAAGTATAATAAAAATTTTATCCTTGACATCTTTTTTTTTCCTTCTAAGAACAGTATTGGTCCAGGAATAATTCTTTTTTAGTTGACAAAAAATATATATATTTATATGTCCAGCATGATGTTTTGAAGTATATTCATTGTAGAATGGCTAAAACAAGCTAATTATTATATGTATTTCCTTACCTTTGTGTGTGTGTGTGTGTGTGTGTGTGTTGCTGGGAATTGATTCCAGCGCCTTGTGCATGAGAGGCAAGCACTCTACCAGTTGAGCTATATCCCCAGCCCCTAACTTATTTTTGAGTGGCAACACTTAAAATCTTTTTGCAGCAGTTTTCAAGAATGATACATTGATATTAACGGTAGTCATCCTGTTGTACAGTAGATTTCTTGAACTTACTCCTACTATCTGAATTTTTGTATGCTTTGCTATTCTTCTGAACCCCAGAAATAGATATTATGACATTAATATACAAATTAGTTAAGCTCCTTTCTAGTCTGTTCATTTGCTTTTCTGAAGAATTATATTGAAAATTAAAGGTTTTAAAAATTATCCCTTGAAACTAGATAATTGAGGAAGTATATCTAGCTTTATTGGCAGAAGGTAAGTGAAGTAATTAATAATTTGATTTTTGTATTCACTATTTTTTCTGGAATTTATAAAAAGTACTGTGATTTTTTTTCATTAAAAGCAAACTTATCCTCATGCTTTTGGATATTCAAACCTTCAAAGAATTAAGTTTTACTTAATATTGAGACTGAAGTGTTTTTTATTTTTTTTATTTTTATTTTTTAAAGAAAGAGAGAGAGAGAGAATTTTTATTATTTATTTTTTAGTTTTGGGTGGACACAACTTCTTTATTTGTATGTGGTGCTGAGGATCGAACCCAGGCCACACGCATGCCAGGCGAGCATGCTACCGCTTGAGCCACATCTCCAGCCCGAAATGTTTTTTATAAACATTTTTAATGATCAAAATATCATTTATATGAACATTCTCCAAGGACTGGGGTTGTAGCACAGTGTCTATAATAGAGCGCTTGGCTAGCACACATGCGGCCCTGGTTCAATTCTCAGCACCACATAAAAATAAACAAAATAAAGGTATCTATTTACAACTAAAAATATTTTTTAAAAAACATTCTCCAGAGTTACTTAAATTATTTGGGGGCTTTATTTTATAGAATCAGATGCCTGTTTTCCATTTCACCCAAATCAGACATTTTTAGAGATAACTGTTAATCTCTCATAATAAGTATTTTATAGACCTAATTCATTTTAATTTATAAATGAACATTTAAAATATTTTAACCTGATTCTCTCTCTCTCTCTCTCTCTCTCTCTCTCTCTAGGAGAATCATTCTATACATGGCTAGAAGGTAAACTTAATGTCTGTTTTTTAAATTTATTGGCTTTTTGTACAAAGAAATATTTAGTATGTTTTTGTAAGTTTTATTACCTAGACAACAAATTTTGACAGTGTTTAAAAGAAATTAGCACATATTTTTAGGTTGTTATTTTTGGGGATAAAATTATATGAAAAGTTTGAGGATATTGGTCAGCCAAAAGCCAATGTGTGAATACACAGTCCAGATACTATCATTAGGTTTCCATAACTGTTTCCTAGTCTTATTCATTTTGTATGTAGTGCTCAACCAAACTATTTTTCTAGTAACCAGTAAGCAAATCTGTTTTTAAATAGAGGCATTCACCTTGGAAGGAAGTACTTTTTATGTGTAAAATGAGGGGAAACATATTGAATCCATAAGGTTCTAAACATGTTTGCCCATGTTAATATAGTCCAGATTTCTCTAATTAAAATTAAGGTAAAGCATTATAGATCCCAGTGTATTAGATGTTTTAGCATTCCTTTATATTCTATAATGAAATATAAAATGTTACTGATAGAAAACTGAAATGTTCTCCCCCGCCCACCCCTGGCCAAAGGTGTAGACAGAGGTTTATTTAGGAAAGTAAGTACATATTTAAGGGAGAAGGGGGTGGCAGTCTCAAAAGAGGTGCTTTTGGGGTGAAATGAGGAATATGCATTAAAGGGAGAAGCAGGCCCTCTCCAGAGGGAGAGACAGCATACCTGTTGGTGTGAAGTGAAAACAAGATTGTTGAGGGCTGTAATCAAGTCAAGATGGCGCCTGGCACTTTGCCAGGAGGAGTGGTCTGTGAAGCAACGCCAGCGAGCCATTAAGATGATGAGGATTCCTTATTGGTTGACTGCTGTATCTAGTTCATGTTAATTAAGTTAAGCTGTGTGTAATTAGTTAAGTATATATACCTCTGCTGTCCAGAGAAGCGGCTCCTGCTATCTCAGGGGCCGCTAATTTGAGTTCTCGTTCAGTTCCTGCTGAGTTCACTCGTGGTAAAGTAGTTCCCGATTCAACCTTCAAGTTGCTTGTCACCTCTCAGTTATTTAACCCATCCAGACTAAGGCACAACATTTTGATCATTTTGCTACTTGATAACAGATTTGATGAAAATTTTCATTTTCATGTTTTGTTAAATCTATTCATAGTGTGTTTTACTAAATCTATTCATAATTTGTATCCCTTTTTATTATATCATTCAAAACTGTCCTTATTTTTAGGAGAAAGCTATATAGTAAAACTTCGTTTGTACCTTTTGGTTTCTATCCATGACAATTCAAGTATTCTAGCAAGAATTCTGAATTAGAGAATGAAATCTGAAAAGAATTTTTTTCCTATTTGAGGCTGCCTCCTCTGTGGTAGGGCACAAAGAGTAAATTAATGATCTGAAAGATCTTGACAAGATGCAAAGTAACCCACGTAGATATTCGTACACTGAGAAAATTTGCCCAGTCTATAAAATGAGACTATACCTTACTTTCCAATATTGAAGCTCATTTCCCCCATGGAGAAGTATTTAAAAACAAAACAAAACAACAAACCCTGTTGGGTAGTGAAAAAGGGAAATGATGCTCTGCATCCACTGGATTCTTAAAACTTGTTATTCTCCGTTTTCATATATTTTAAAAAAATTTTTATAAAGAATATTACTTCATCATGATGTGTGCTCAGTAAATTCTTAGCCTTAGTCATAGAAAGCCAGTGCTGTTGCCTTCTGGGAGCTTGCCAGTTGCATCCTGAGAGTGTGTACCTGCAGGAGCCTGGGCCTTTTATCTTACTCTGCATTAAGTTTTCATCATAAGTCAGTTTATTCTAAAGCTAGAATCTATGTTGTCTTCCAGTAAGAGAATCTAAATCTAATTGTTTATGTATTAATTCTCTATTTTTAATGTCCTTGAATCTTTAAAATAAGTCCATGTAAATGGAACCACCATTTGACCCTGTTATCCCACTCCTTGGCTTATACCCAAGGGACTTTAAATCAGCATACTACAGTGATGTAGCCACATCAATGTTTATAGCAGCTCAATTCGTAATAGCTAAGCTATGGAACCAACCTAGGTGCTCCTCAATAAAGAAAATGGGGAATATATATACACAATGGAATATTAGCCATAAATAAGAATGGAATTATGGCATTTGCTGGTAAATGACTGGAACTGGAGACTATCATGTTAAATGAAATAAGCCAATCCCAAACAACTAAAGGCCAAATGTTCTCTCTGATATGTGATACACACAGTAAGGGGATGGGGAGAATAGAAGTTCATTGCATTAGACAAAGAGGAAGAAAGGGGGGGATGGGAATAGGAAAGATAGTAGAATGAATCGTACATAACTTTGCTATGTTCATATATGAATACATGACCAGCATGTACAACCACAAGAATGGGAAGCTATACTCCCTGTATCTGTAATATGTCAAAATACATTCTACTGTCATTTATAACTAAAAAGAACAATTAAAAAATTTTAAAGTCCATGTACTGAATCTCATTGATTCAATATCTCTTATCTAAATGGGCATGATTTCTTTTTCAATATTTTTCTGAATAGGTTTGTGTCTGGAGAAGAGAGTCTTCTATAAACTTATATCAGGACTTCATGCCAGTATCAATTTACATCTATGTGCGAATTATCTTTTGGAAGGTAATTAGATTTTTAAGTGGAGATTTTGCCTTCTATTAGTATAAAGGTTATTGGGGGAAGTACATATTCTTTAGAATGAAACATCCTCTTTAGTAAAAGAACATAATGTATTTCTCTCTCTTTAGAAACCTGGGGTAAACCTAGCTGGGGACATAATATCAAAGAATTTAAGCGCCGCTTTGACCCTGTGGAAACAAAGGGAGAAGGTCCAAGAAGGCTGAAAAATCTGTACTTTTTATACTTGATTGAGCTTCGAGCTTTGTCAAAGGTGGCCCCCTATTTTGAGCGTTCAATTGTTGATCTTTACACTGGAAATGTAGAAGATGATGCCGACACCAAAAGCCTTCTACTGAGTATATTTCAAGATACCAAGTAAGAATCCTGAACTCTATTCAGATGAGGTGGTTCTTGAATGGCAATAAAAACTGACTACTAAAAGTCAGAAAAAGAGAATCAGAACTGAGAAGGCAAATAAATGATCAATGGAATGGTAGCATTTGAAATTATTTCTAAAAATGCTAACTACAAGCATCTATAAAGCTTTGTTGCAGAAAGTTCCACACTTGAGAGCAGGCTATGTTTTATTTATTTTTTAATTGATTTTATTTTTTTAAATATATGGCAGTGGAATGTATTACAATTCGAGAGCAGGCTATATTTTAAAATATGACTTAGGATTTTATGTAGTACCAAAATTTAACGATCTTTCTACCAATTTTATGTTTGTCCCGTTATTTAAACTTGGGTGGTGTCATGCTTAGTCTATAAAACTTAAGTTTACTGATTAATATGAGCATGGAAAATTAGATCAAGAAGTACTTAAATTATTACGTTTTTTAAAAGAGTGTTGTATATTTTTCACAGATTGATTTTCATTTTTTAGATATTTTGTCATGTAATTTCTTTAAAATGTTAATCTTTAAAGCTTTGTCTTTATTAAAGAGTATATGTGAATTCTTTGTCACCTTCCTGTGTTATAAGACAATATGAATTTTAAATATTTACAGAGAAGAAAAGTCTACCAAAGTTCTAAGGTGCCTGAGTTTTTCATCTGTAACTTATTAATTATAATATTGTCGTTCCATCAGGTCATTTCCCATGCATTTCGATGAGAAATCCATGTTTGCAGGCAACAAAAAGGGGGCCAAGTCATTAAAGGTAAAAAAAAAAAAAAAAAAAATTATTGAATGGGGGAGCTGGTGGGGAGCTGTTTGCTGTTGTATTTTAATCTTGCTCATCTAGATCCTTTTGTTCTCCAGTTCTCTGTAGTTAATTTTGTAGTTAATTTGATTTTAAAAGCTTAGTTAGACTGAAAATATTTTCTGCATGATAGGAAGAATTCCGGTTACATTTCAAGAATATTTCCCGTATTATGGACTGTGTTGGATGTGACAAATGCAGATTATGGGGAAAATTACAGGTATGTGTGATGTCTTTTCTTTTGAAATTAAAATTTTCCACCGAGTTCAAAATTTTTATTAGAATGTCCTCATTGTTCATTGCATTAGAGTTTAGAAATAGGCAGATCCAAAGTGCAGTTTTGTTTATTTTTTTATTTTTTTACTTTTTAAATAACTTTATTTATTTATTTTTTAATGTAGTGCTGAGGATTGAACCCAGTGCCTCACACATGCTAGGCAAGCGCTCTGCCACTGAGCCACAACCCCAACCCCAGTTTTTGTTTTATTTATGAAAAATATCATTAAACTGTGTTACATGCACATGTATAAAGATTTTTTTTGTAGTCTGTGTTAATGATTTTAGTTTTATTGTATCTGTATCTATTGATACAATGTTGGATTCATTTCTAAAATTGGTGATTGTGAATAGAGAGTTATATATATATGTTTACATAAAAGGTAAAATATAATTATATAAAAGTTAAATATCCAATTTTGGTCGTAGAATTTGTTTCAGTAGTCACAAGAGACCACCTAAGGACAAAATATGAAAGCTCTGCTAGGTAGGTCTGTTACCCTGAACAATGAAAACGGATTATTTGATGTTTTATCTTATTTTCTTTAAAAGAGGATAATAAGTTACAAAAAATCAAGAGACCGTTACTGAAATAAAATTATCTTTTCCTCTGGTGCTGATAATTGAGAAATTAATGAGTATACTTATCACTAATAATCTCTAAGGTTTGAATTGCCTGGATTGTTTTTTAAAGAAAAGAAAGAAAAAGCTTTCATTGGGACTGGAAGGCGAGTTCAATGGTAGAGTGCTTGCCTAGCATGCCTGAGGCCCTAGGTTCTACATCCAGCACTGCTCTAAATAAATAAATAAATAAATGCTTTCAAGGTTGTAAAATAGGCATTTACAAGTCTTAAGACAGCTCAGTTTTCCTTAATAGTTTATTAGCTAAGGTTATCTCATTCATAACCTGCCAGGAGGCACTGTGTTGTGCATAGTTTAATATTTTGGTGGATATAACATCTGTATTTTATTTTTATGTGGTGCTGAAGATCGAACCCAGCGCCCCGCGCATGCCAGGCAAGCGCGCCTTTGCTTGAGCCACATCCCCAACCCCCTTTAAATCTTTATAGTAGTTCTTATTATATAAAGTTAATTGTCAGTTCGTTGACGTTTTCTTTAGACTCAGGGTTTAGGAACTGCCTTGAAGATACTATTCTCTGAAAAAGAAATTCAAAAGCTTCCAGAGAACAGTCCATCCAAAGGCTTCCAGCTCACTCGGCAGGAAATAGTTGCTCTTCTAAATGCTTTCGGAAGGTAAGAGCCATTTCCACTGCAAAGACTTGATTCCCATGCAGTTCCGAGCAAGCTGCAAAAATCATCTTCTCCCCTGAAGTGCAGTTTGTTTTGGTTTGTTGACAAAAAGATGTTATTACTGTATTATACTTGGACTCACTTTGCTTAGAGCAGCTTCAAGGCAGACAAGTCAATTTCTTATTGATCATAGGAGAAGTTAATAGTTTCCAGTTGCCAAGATGTCTCAGTTTGCCTCCTTAATTTTGTGGGGATGATATTCTCTGAATAATTTTGTCATTAGAGGGCTATGATTTGTTCAGATACCATGGTAGAATTAAGAAGAGTGGTCATGAAGGTTATCAAAGGAAAAAAAAATTCAGCCCTCTTTTCCTGCTCTTAATTTCTTAAGCCATGGAGTACCTTCTTTCATTTATTTATACCCCATTTATTTGTCAGATATGTAGTCTTGCTTGTCTATACTACAGAGGTATCAAAAAATAATTTGAACTTACCTATAGAGATAGATGAAGTGCCAACTGAGGAATACAAAACAGAACAAAAAAAAAATAAGGGACCAAGTGATATAGAGATTATTGCTTATGTTTTCTTATTATGCATTTAAAGTCAGATAGGTAGTTAACTTAAGAATAGATTAATTACACTTTTTCATCTTTTGGGGTTTTCTTCGGGGGGGTGGGGGGTAATCACCACAAATTGAATTCAGGGGCACTCGACCACTAAGCCCCATCCCCAGCCCTATTTTGTATTTTATTTAGAGATAGGGTCTCACTGAGCTGTTTAGTGCCTTGCTGTTGCTGAGGCTGGCTTTGAACTTAGATCCTCCTCCTCAGTCTCCTGAGCCACTAGGATTACAGGTGTGCGCCATTGTACCTGGCCTTTCTCATCTTAATAGCAATGATTTTTACTTGTTGCTTCCCTATATTTAAAGTTGATGTAGGTTGAGATTTGAAACACAAGATGAACAAAATCTCCATTGTTAATTTGCATTTCATGAAAAATTCAGTCCACCCACTTATGAGGCCTGTAGAAAGATAACAGGAGAAACTGAATGAAATTTAAAATGAAACTGAAATGAAAAGGATTTTAAATAATTTAAATGTAAGTCCAAATAAAATTAAACTTAGGAAGAAGAAAAAATTGAGAATTTATTAAAATATCCCTGGGTCTCATAAATGCACACTTGGCAGCTTTACTCCTTTACCTAGAGACCCTGATCTTTATTTTTCGCTGGACAGTTCTAGGCTTGGAATCAGGTCTTCAAGTCTAGGGATTGTGGTCTGTCATTTATTAGCAGTGTGGGCTTAATAAAAATCATTGCTCTGCTAGCAAGTTTCCTTTCTAAACTGTAAAATGAAAATGATGAAACCATCTTAATGGTTAGAACCCTCCTACTAGTTGAGTGACCTTTTTAATTTTTAATGTTTACTGAGATCTTACATGTTATGGGCTTAGAACATAGCCTGATAATACCCTAAGCTCTCAATAAATGGTAACTTTTGAAGTACTTGAGTAAAGAAAGGAGCTTAATATATATTATGTATTACATCGCCCTAAGCTATAGAAGAAGAAACATTGGATGTTCCTTATATCAGCTCAGAATTGTACATAAGGAGAATTGAGCTTATAGAATTACTTTTTTGTGTTTCCCATCCCAGAGTTTTACTTCTGGCCTGGGCTGATGAGGAGCTCGGATTTATGTGTTTTGTATGTCAGTAATCACATACTGATAAATAAATTTTTGATGAATACAGGGAAGAGGGAGGTACCTAAGCAGGAAGCAGTCTTTACCCTCAGCAGGCAACAAGATAAAGAACCGTTAGTGTGTTTGGGGGGCAGCTAGAAAGGAGTAGTCAGTGTTCAGAGAGGTGTGTACATAATGAATTTATGAGGGAAAACAAATACTCTGAGATTCTTTATTATTGTGAGTTATTTTCATATTACTTTCCATTATTAATCTAAGGTCTGTTGATAATAAGTAACTGGCTTCCTTTGCCCCTTCTAAACCAAGACCAAAGGACTGTAGTTTTGTGTTTTGTCAGTTTTTGTAAGAGATGGTAGCATACTGATTTAAAAATTGGAATCCTCAGTGTTCAGTATTATTGTTTGTTTTTAACTTTGGATTTTGCTTTCAAATTGTGGCCTTTAACATTATCAGGAATTTGAAACAAGTACACATCATATTAGCTGTATGTACTAATATGCTTTTCTTTTTCTCCTATAGGCTTTCTACAAGTATAAGAGAGTTACAGAATTTTAAAGTTTTATTACAACACAGTAGGTAATAAAGGCTTTTATATGTCCAAGTAGAGACGTACAGTGGCTTGGTGAAGCCTTTTAGTCTTGGACTTTCAGCAGAGAGACTAATCTTCTAAGACTTCAAGAATTCTGAACTCTTAAAAGAGAAAATTCAAATGTTCACTTGAATATTTATGACCCTTAATAGATTATCATTTAGAAATATTTATAAATGAAGTATATACTTTTAAGATATGTAAATTATACTAATTCTATTTAATTTCATGTGTTTCTGTTGAATATTCTTCTGTTCCATTTGTTTTGATTTGGTTTTATTTTTAATCTATTACCCTTTATTTCCAGTTGTCAACTTTAAATGACTGTCCTTATCTTAGTAACACAGTTCAGTCTTTTGTGGAAAAGAACAACTAGGGAACCAGTGTTGGTTAGGACTAGGATCACAAAAATGTGTCTGGGTTTAACATGTTTTTAGCCTTGCCTGAACTTTGTGTGTCACCTTCTGTAATGTGGGTCTGACCTTGTGGTCAGTGGCCAATTCAGTGAATGGAACAGGGGTTCCTTAAGATCCCCAGGACTTCCAGCTCCAGTTCCACGGGTTTTTGATATTCTTGTTGAGGTTGCAATTTTGTTTTTTGCCTAAAGGACCTGTGTTGGTGAAGGTAAGTGCTGACTGCACAAGGGGTCCTGTCTGCACACTGGGCTGGCAGAGGAGCATTCCTTACCTAAAACAGATCACCTTCTGACTTTGTTCCTCTCCTAATTTTAGATATTGTCAGTTACTTTAAGGAAAGAAAAAAAAAAAAAAACCCTGCATATTTATTTAATGGATTATTTCTTGAAAAATTTGAAGGGAATTATATGAATTTATGCCAATTACTTTTATTCACAAAACTTGCTATTTTAAAGTAAGTACTTTTAAAAGGATTTAATTTTGAATACAATCTATGCAACCCTTTAGCTCTCAGTGCGATTGTCTCTGGTGATATATATCAGAGGGAGATCAGGTCAGGCCTCTTCTAGGCTTCCTCTTTCCTCTCTTCTCTTTCCATTTTTAGCTCATCCTGTATCAGTGGTACTTTGTGTGACTCAGACCAACAGACTTTTAGGTCCTAGACTGTCACTTTCTAATCCTGGGATTTAGTCGTCAAAAAATATTTAAAAGTCTTGATTCTTTTAAAAGTGTCAGTGGATATAATGGGATTAACTCGAAAGGTTGAATATTCATGTAGAAGTATCACAGGTACGAAGTCTAGTTTCTCCTTAGAGTCTTCCATCTTCCCTAAAGTAAATAATAAGTGCTCTTAAACCCATATCATATGCTGCCAGAGTCTGATATGTGTTCCTTGACAGTTTCATGGCATATTTTAAATTGTATTTTTGCCATCCTGTGGAACAGTATGATTGGGGGAATAAAGTCCAACTAGAGTTATTTATTTTCTTACCCAATTTCTAACCTTTATGAATGTGGGATTTTGTTGTAGTTGGGGGGTAATTTTATTAGGTTGAATAAAAAGATTGGCTTGATTGGAGCTTCCTCCATCTTTTTTTCCTTCCCCCGCTCCTCTGGGGAGGGTCTGAGGAGGGAAACCTTAAGGCTAAATGAATATCTAGTCATCTTGCTTAGTAAGAATAAGAATTATTCTTCACTTAGTATTCATTCAGAAAATGTGAAAAATTTGCACTTTGTTTGTTTTTATTGTATATTAAAGATCTCTTTAGTGTTACTTCACCATTCCCCAGTTAACAGCTACTATTTAAGCTCTTATTTACTAGAGAAAATTCTTGGTCATTCCCATTTATTGCATTTTTTCTTTAATTTGTTTCAAGCTTAAGAAAATATATTAGAATGTGCTCTGGCATATTAAAAGATCTAGTTAAGCTAAAGTTACTTTTGGTTTTAATGAATTTTTTCACTTCTAAGAAAATAAAATGAAGTATTCTACATCTGAAATTCATCTGATTACCTTTATTTTATTTACCATAAATCAGATTGTGGGAGCAGTCTACATTTGTGTGTGTTGTGTGTTTCTAATGATTGTGTAGACTGCAGGAACCTGCTTTGTGAGTCTGGTGACATTTAATTGTCCTTGAGATGTAAACTGCTCCCAGTTCACTCACTTTGGCTGTGAGATGGTGACTGAGAACTGATGGCATGGTGTTTGAAATGCTCAGCTGGTGAACATTTCTTGGAATCTGTCTATCTCATCACCTAATGTAAAAATCCAGCACTTGACCATATAACTGGCAGAAATGATTGTAGCAGCTTGATTCTTGGATTATGAGGAAGATCATATGGAAGAATAACAGATTTCAATTTTGAAATTTGATAAGGGAAATGCTCTGACTTTAAACATTGTGCATTACTCAGTTTTGTAATCTTATTATATGAAACACTGCCATGTTTTCGACTTTGCATAGGTGCCATTGTATGTAAGAAAGGACAGCTCTTTTGGTCTTCATCAGCATTGCCTTCAGCTGGAAACTTGAGAAAGTTCACAGTAAACCTCCCAGCAGTTTGCAGACTGAAGTACCTACAGAAACATAGCTATTCACCAAAAGACACAGGTTAGGTGCACGGTATTGTGGAAATTCTTTTGTACAAAATTCAACACATAAGATCACTTGTACTCTATTTTAAGTAACTCCAACAGGTGCAGCTTTGATTTTTAAAAGAATTCCAAATAATTTGCTGTTGTACCCACCAGATTCTGGAAAATGTGGATTAAAGTACATGTTTCTGCAATCTTTTTCTGTCTTGTTTCCCCCCGCCCCCCAATTTTAAGTGTTTCCTTTAGGAGATGAAGATTTGCTTGTCATTTGTGGAATGGGAGAAAATATATTTGCAGGTGGTCTGAGGTGGCTGCTTCTAGTCATGATAGCAAGTGTTGGCAGACATTGTTTCATCTTCACAGCAGCACTGGTAGGTGGTAAGAAAACAGAGGACAGGAGAGGCTCACTAACTGGTCCAGAAAATCTGACTCCAGAGCTCTCAGTGTGGTCTGTGTCACTTGCACAAGTGGCCTGTTACTTTCAACTAAAAGGTGTGGAGGTTTTTAACATCTTTCAGTTTGTATTGATTTATAAGGCTTTTAAAATATGCTTATTTTATTTAATTTTCTGAATAGGTAATACATTCATATGGTTAAAAAGCCAAAAGATAACAAAAGTTATACAGCAAATGTCCTCATATCAGAGGCCCAATTTCCAGCACTGCATACCCCCTGCCCACCACCACTATATATGACCTCCACTCTTGGTTTCTCATGTTTCCAGCCACACATTTCCAGGCATATACAAACATATACAAATGTAAAGCCTTTTCTCATTTTTACTTAGTGACATCATATACACATCATTTTTTTTTCCACATACTATTTCTTGGTGGCCTTTGTGTTACCAGATGGCTTTGTTATTTTTGAATAGCTGCGTGGTATTCCATTACATGGATGTACCATCATTTAACTGGTCCCCTATTGGTCATTTGGGTTGCTTTCAGAACTTTTATGTATGTCATCTCACATCTTACCCACAACCTAACCATCACAGATGTTATTAAAATGCTGAATTGTATCTTCTGATAGATGAAAAAACTGATCAGTGTGTTTATATTCCTATGACTAGGGTTGAACACCTTCTAACATGCCTAAGAACCATTTGTTTGCTTTTGTGTTCAAATCTTTTGTGCACTTTGCTATCACGATTATTTTCCTTACCGATTTCTAATACTAGTTTGTTTGTTAGGGATAGTAACACTTCAGCTATAATGAACTACAGTTTTTTTTAATTTGTTGTTTGTCATTTAGCTTTACTTATAATGGTTTTGCCATGAAGTTTTCTATTTTTATCTATCCTGATACAACTTTTTTTAGTTTTTTTCTGGATTTTAAGTCATGGTTAGAATGCCTTCCTCAATCCAGAACAATGGAATAATTCACCAATTTCTTCTAGAACTTTTATGTTTTTTTTTTAAAACATCCAAATTTTCATCCCTTGGAATGTATCCTGGTCAACCCAATTTTTTCCACAGATGATTACCTAGTTGTCTCAGTACCTTTAACAGTTCATTTTTTCCTCACTAGTTTGAGAGGCTACTTTTTTTTTGAGAAGTGTTCTTATAATGCTGCCTCTTCTGAACTTGAACTCGTATGCTTACAGGCTTCTCCTGCCTCGGCCTCCCAAGCAACTGGGACCACACACATGTGCTACCATGCCTGGCTGAGAGTCTACGTTTGTCATATTTCAAGTCCCATGTGCACTTTTAGCTCTACCTGGGTTCTGTCTGTTTCTCTAATTGGTGTGTAAATGTAGCATATGCTGTTTAATTATACAGGCTGTATTTTTTAATATCTGTACCCTGGTCATCTTTAATTCCTTCCCGTCTCTCTCCCCCTCTCCATTTTCCCCCAGTGTTTCTAGCTATTCTGATTTGCTTTTCTATATGAGCTTAAAAAATCCTTAAAACGTGCTAAAACTCTGGCTCAGTGTTCTCTCTGAAGGGTTGCACTTGTCGCTGCTTACTGGTAAAGATTTTTTTTTTTTTTTACAACTAGGCTAATTATTTTAGTATTGTATTTGCCAAATAAGTGAAGGCAAATGGAGGCACAACACTAGTGCTCATGTGGACAGAATTTCATCTTGGTGCTTCTATTGTAGGATTTAGTCTCCAAGGATGATTTGAGGATTATCTTATAAAGTCCTCATTACCTTTTGTTAAGATTTGGACCTGGCACATCCCCAAAAGCTCATGTGTTAAAAGCACAGTCTCCGGTTCAGCAAGGCTCAGAGCTGCTGCTTTTAGGACATGATTGCATCATGAAGGCTCTGTCCACATCAGGGGATTAAACCATCCACTGAAAGCTGAAGGACTCCTGAGAGGTGGGACCTAGTGTGTCACTTGGGTGTACTTGAGGTAGGTTTATCTTTTCTGTGCCTCTCACCCCCTTGCTTCCCTGCTGCCAGGAGCTCAGCATCTTTTCCCTAGGTTGTTTTCCTCCTCTAAGTTATTTTTGTCAGGTATTTTGATTACAGAATGTAAAACAAGAAGGAAAAGCTCTTAAATAAGTACTAAACTTGTAAAATCAGTAAGCAATAGATACAAGTATACAAGGTACCTTAAAAAAAATATCTACCAAAACAACAGGATGTGAGTATTCACTTACCTCTAGGAGCTGGTAATACAGCAGTGAATAAGCAACAGATGTCCCTGCCACCATGTAACTTACTATTCTGTTAGCTAACTGGATTATTCTGTTTATATCTTGGTGCATTCTCAGTATAATGTCAGCTGAGGATGACACATGCCAACCTAGAATCCCATCTAGAGAAGAAGGCACTCTGGGTGGAATGAACTGTATAGTATCTTCCTGACATTGCCATCAGGCTCCACAGGTAAAGTCACTCCCCTGACACCACTCCTCAGGGCAAAGTTGGCTTCACCAGGCAGTATTCTGGGATTGTGTACCTTTTCCTGTGGCCTTTACAGCACATATCTCTTAACAGGTCTTATCTCTGTAAACCTGAAGTCCAGATTCTGGGCTAGTGATTGCACCAGGGAGAAGCACTCTGGCTACTCAGTTCCATAGGTTGAATGGCCCTGAGAAAGCAGTGTTCGTTTATCCAGACAGCACCATTTTATACCTTAATGTCTTCTAAGAACACCAGGCCTCAGGACTGCACAGGGTCTGGAGGGACTGCTGGGGGACAGGTGAGACTGATGAGCAAAAGGTCATGCCCATAGGGAGAAACAGGGAAAGGGAGGACTTTGAAGGTCATAAACTGGAGAGATGGAGGTCACAGTTCAAGAGAAGAAAACCTCTGAACTCCAGCTCTGCCCAGGCTAAAGTTGGGGCCAGAAAGTCTATTCTGAATTTTTTTAAATGTTAATATTTTGAGTGGTAATGCACCCAACTCCAAAAGGACAGACCAGATTTGGAACTAAAGGATTGATTGCCAAGGTATTAGTCCGTGTCAGGGAAAGTAGAGACCAGGGGTCAGCCATGGCTCAAGGACAAGAAAGTAGTAGGGAATCCAGACCTGGAGAAAGCAGGTAGATGCCAGGAGCTATTGAGTCACTGGATTTGCATCTGAGGACTTTGAACCTGTAACTTGACCTGAGCAGCACATCTCACTCTGCACTGCATGGATAGAGCACCATGACCTGGCCCAGAGGGATGGGGCAAAGGTACAGCAGTCAGATACAGACCTGGGCTGGGGCACAGGGACATCTTCAGCAGACATTAGGTATTTTGAGCAGGGCTCTGGATAGGGCTTTTCATGTGTCCCTGATGAGGGCCAAGAATAGGGTTAACATACAGTTGCTCCTGAGTTCACAGACCAGTGTAGCAAAAGAATGACTCAATAGACATGGAATCCCATTCCCTTATGCACACTGTCCCTTTTAACTGAGGTTTCCTCACTTGAAGTGGTTTATTAATATAGAGTCTTCGAAAAGAACTTTACTGTTTATCCTGATCATTCCAACAGTTCCTCCATCTGGACCTATAAGAAGTTGTAAGTAGTTTATGCACAATTGGAAATGTTTTTAATAAAATTCTCATAGGATAAAAAATATAAATGTATATCCCACATTTCTCCAGTGTACAATATTATCATATAGCAATCTAAAGTGCAAGGATTTTTTAAAAAAATATTAAGACCTATTTAGTTCTAATGTAGGTTCACCTATTAAAAAACTAGAAGCAGGGCTGGGGATATAGCTCAGTTGGTAGTACGATTGGCTCGCATGCACAAGGCCCTGGGTTCAATTTGAAGCACCAAAAAATAAAAAGTTCAGTGGTAAAGCACTTGCCTAATATGCCTGAGGCCCTGGGTTTAATACTCAGAAACAAAATTTTAAGAAAAGTAGTTTTGTAGTAGTATTCAGTATATAGATGTAAATGAAAATCTTTCTCACAGTACTTCTGAATCTCTGGAATTAATGTTTATTTGCTGTAATTAAATAAATTAATTTAGGGATTAATTTATTAAATAAATTAATAAAGGGATTAAGTGTGGGCTCAACAGCAAGGACCCCAAAGACCAGTTATCATGAGTTTTAGTTAAGGTGGAATGTGGGAGGGACTACTGAGTTTGCCTGATCTAAGCAGATGACCATGGGACCAGCACAGTATTAAAAATGTGGTAACATGAGAGAATTGGCATAACTAAATGTAATGGATACGCATATTGTAATAATCAGAACTTTTTGTGAGGGGGTACTGGGGATCAAGCCCAAGGATGTTTTGTTTTACCTTTGGGTTACATCTCCAGCCTTTTTTTTTTTTTTTTTTTTAAGGCAGGGTCTTGCCAGGTTACTGAAGCTGGCTTCAAACTTGGCAGGCCTTCTGCCTTAACCTCTCAGGTCACTGGGATTACAGATGTATGTCACCACTAAGCAGAACTCCTTAATTATAAAATGGAAACAAAGCCAATGAAAAATACCTCCACAGAGTGGGTAGAATGATTCGTTGCAGAGGTGGCTATGTCTTTAGTAGTCACACAGAAACATTTGCATGCAGTTTTTTAATGCTGCATCGGACTACAATGGTGGTACAGAATTTTCAGTAGTATTACATCTTCTCCAGGCACTTTTAACTTGCACATTATCAGGGTTTAAATTTCATTTTATTTTAAAACAAGGGAACATTGGGCATTTTAGAACCAGAAATCATTCCTCTGCCCCTCTTAGCATTCAAAATTCCACATAAAGAACAGTTTTGCTAGCATACCTTGCAGGGCAAGTAAATTCAGAAGCTCGGGAAACTTGCTTTTCCTTCCTACAGTGTTCCTGCAGCATCTTGCAGCTTGTAGGGTACATGGTTCTGTGAGAGGATGAGAGTCTGACAGTTGTTTATATTCCATTGTGGGTTGACACATTCCTAAAAGTTTAGCATTACTTTTAAAAGGAGGAGGGCAGAACGGGCAAGTCCAAAAGCCTTAAACCATGTTTTAAATACACCAGTCCTTAGCTGACCAAATAGTGAAGGGTGCAGGACTTTTTTTTTTTTTAAACAAAGATTACTTGCAGGATATGGTGCATCTGCCTGAATTCTCCCAGCACAGTGGGAGACAATGTGGCCCAAAAGCACGCAAGAGTCACCCTGTGATCCTGGAGTTCTCTTTCCTGGATATATATGCACTTTGCCTTAATACTATGAACTCCTTAAACATGAAAAAGAAAGTGACCACGATGGGGGTTTCTTAACACTGTTTAGAGTAACAACGTATAATACTGTTTTAAGGCAATCTGAATGATTGGTGCAGGCTTTGCTTCGGTGTAAAATTTTCCCTGGCAAGTAACTATTTTAAATAATAGGTGACCCAGATTATTCCATGTTCAGAAAGACTGTGTTCTGAGATTATGCAGGGTAAAGGTTTTCTGAAAAACCCAATCATGACCCATTTGAAATTTGGAGATCCCAAGTTTAAAGACCATCAGAGAAGAAAGTAGAGTTGTTTATGTGAAGTTAATGTCCAGAGATCGGTTATTCCTGAAGACCAGAGTGGGAAGTAGGAGCCACAGATCTTAAAATCCTTACCACTTGTCCTTCCTTCTGTCCCAAGATGAAACTTCTAAGGTGAGGTGGAGTGGAATAGTCCTTTCTCTACAGTAGTGATACTTCCTCTAGAACTGGAGGTCTGCTGTGTGGAAAATCAGCATTCAGCCTCCCCATGGGCAGCTCGAGAGTATATACAGTGGAGGTCTGGAGGTTTTACAATGGCACTTTTGGTCCAGGATATATTTCATAGAGAGCTCTTTCAGCAATTGTCTGGAAAATCCCCCACCCCAATAGCTTATTGGAGCCCCACTGCCATTTCAAACCCTGCAGCTTTCAGCTGAGCTGCTTGTGGAGCTGTTCAAGAGGCATTTTAAATGTGGTTGGATATTACAGAAAAACTATCAATTCCAGAGAATTTCAACCTAAAAGCTAGGGGTATATTAACGCCTTCTTGGGAACCTCATGGTTTCTCCTTGAGAAGTGGATGTTTGCCAAGTTAGGAAAGGTGGAATCTGGCTATAGTCCTGAAGTAATGGATATTCAATTTCATTGGGCTGAAAAAAATATGCAAAATCACTATGAATAAAGCAGAGGTTGGTTTAATAGTGTCAGTCAGCTACATTGTTAATGTAATCAGCTTGTTCTCACCAAAGTGCATGCATTGGTGTCCTGATAAAAAGAAGTACCAGACTTTTAGCCAAATATAAGATTGAGACCAAACATCTGGATCTTTAGAAAACTCTGAAGAGCCAGTTTCCTTAAAGGCTGATGATGTTCCATGTCATTTAATATTGCAGTCACAATTGGCTTTCTGGATGTGAATTGTATTTTAGGAGTCTACTAATGTGGAGGAATCTGAGTGACCTTCAGAGGTAAGGATGACTTTAGTCCAAAAGCCTTAAACCATGTATTCTATACTTTTTAAAGTGAATTATGCATAAAAGATGTGCAAACTACAACATATATTGCAATAACATTCTCAAGGAAAAACCCTAGTATTCTTAGCATTATTATTTAAGTTATATAAAATACATTTTTATAAAAGTACAGATTTTCTTTAAATTATACCCAATGAAATAGTCAGGCTCGCTTATTAGTACTGAAAATAAGAATTTATCAATCTAAATTATTGCTTTGTCCTATCGAGCCATTAGAAAAAACCTAAAATAAAAATCAAGTCCTATTTCTTAGGGAAAAGTGCGCCCAAAAAAACTCAGCTGTAATTGTCTTTCTGTAGATTTTCAACAAAGGAATCTTCAATTAAAGTGTAACTGATGCTACCCGTGGCTTGGTTTGTCAGGATCCAAAGTTGAGTCTTGCTGTGAAGTTCCTCCTTGTGCTGGGGAACTGTTAGTTTGTTGTCCCCAGTCATAGTAGTCTGGAGCAAAACTTTAAAAAAAAAAAAAAAAAATTTGTTTCACTGTCATAAAGTGGCATATTCTGAATGCATGACATGTCTGGTTAAATAGATGGAACTAGTATACACTAAGCCCATTTAGAACGGTCCTGTGCACCATGCTGGCAGCCTGCACATGGTCTATTGAACTTTTTTTAAAACGTCAATGGACCTTTATTATATTTTATTTATACATGGTGCCGAGAATTGAACCCAGTGCCTCACACATGCTAGGCGAGTGCTTTATCACTGAGCTACAACCCCAGCCCCTCTACTGCACTCTTCAGAGCGCAGCATCACTAGAACCTGGAAACAAGTCACATTTCCATCAATGAATGAATCCTTGTGAATGATAGCTCACTACCTTTGTGTGTCTGGACAAATAACTCTTGTGTCTCACCTTCCTCATGGGGCTAATTGTGGGGACAGAAGTGATCCCTGTACACATATTGGGCAGTACCCAGTATGTGGGTAGTACGGTAAGCCATCTTCATTTTCTTCTCTGTAGTGGAAGGGAGGGGGTCTTTCTTTCCCTGTAGAGGTGGTAGGAACCCCTGAAGTCTCGGCATTTCTCACAGGCGAGGCCATTACAGCAGCAAGTGCAGCTAACAGGAAATGCAGTGAGGTATCTGGGCAAGAGTGCAGGAAGACGGGGAGCTCCGAGTCTGACTTGGAGGACAGCTTTTCAGCTTGATAGTCCCTGTGTATTGGTTTGCTTTCTACTTTTTTCCCAGCCACTGGCTTTTTTATTCTGTCTAATCAGGATTTCTCTCCTCCCTGATCCAGTGTATTCTCCTGGCTTTTCTTGTCCCTAAGGCAAGAACCCTCTTCAGAGTGCTTTTAAGGTTTTCTAAGGACTTTTCCTATTCCTAGCATAGGGTATAGCTCAGTGATAGAGGGCTTGCCTAGCATTGTCTGAGGCCCTGGGTTCCATCCCCATCTGCAGGGGTGCATATCTTATCAAAGTTACATTGACATAGGATAAATCTTTAAACTCAGCAACAGGAGGGGCTCAGCAAGCATGAGATCACAAAGCAGTGAGCATAGCTGAAACACCTGGACACTAAGGAAGGCTCTGACTTTAGAACATCTGATTAGTCTGCCTGGATTTCCCAAGTTATGTTCCGTTGAGTGTTTTCATGGCCTAGTGTTCTCTTTCCCTCTTAGAGAGTCAGAGTACACTGTTATGGTTTAGATGTGGTGTCACCCAAAAGCTCAGATGTAATACAATGCAAGAAGGTTCAGAGAAGAAATGATTTGATTTTGAGAGTCTTAACCCGATCAGTGAATTAATCCTCTGATAAGGTTTAACAGTGGTAGGGTGTGGCTGGAGGAGGTGGGAATTGGGGGTGGCTTTGGTGTATATATTTGTATCTGGCAAGCAGAGTCTCTTTGCTTCTTGATCACCATGATGTGAGCTACCTCCTTCTGCCATGATGTTGAGCCTCACCTCAAGCCCTGAGAAATGGAGCCAGCCTTCTATGGACTAAGACCTCTGAAACCATGAACCCTCAAATCAACTTTTCCTCCTCTACAGTTGTGCTCGTCTGGTCCTTTTGGCACAGTAGCAAAAAATGCTGACTGAAACAACACCTTAGGCTCTGGGAAATTCTGCAGTTGATTTTCTTTTAAACATCATTTGCATCCACACAGCACAGCTATTTCAGACATGCCAACCATGTAGTAGTGTTTAGGACACTGTAATAATGTCGTGGGGCTTTAAAATTTTGTGTCAGTCCTTTCATTCATATTTCACTTATGTAAAATAATCTGCTAGAGGTCCTGCATGACCTCTAGCTATGTGGTTTTCATGAAGGAATCCATTTCAGTGGTGTAGCTGTCTCCCTCCTCATGAGCCCTATATATGAACCAGGGTCTTACCTGCCCTGAAGTCCCTGAGGGGCAATGTTCCAGGCAAGGTCATCGTCACTGTCATATCTTCGAGGGTTGTCAAAGAAATAAGATCTGGGGTTGAATCCATGGCTGGGGACCATTCCAGGGTTGGTCTAGAAAGAGATAATCATTCAGCATCCTTCCAGATGCTGTGCATCACCCAAGATAAGATGTTCAGATCACTTCCTTTATGCTGGGGTGTTCACTGCATCAGCATAGATAAAATCCATCTTGCTTTCAACAGTGAGTCGTCATTGTTTAATCCCTCATTAAAAATGCCCAAATTAGTCAAATTTGGTAGTCCTGCTTGGATATAAACCTGTATACTCCTGTGGGCATTCATAGCAAAATAAAACAGTGATGAAATCATAGTGGGAAAGGTTTTTAACCTATTTCTATAGCCTGTCTATGGTCATTTCATCCTGTTTTTGCCCCCAAATTGAGTTCATTTCTCAAAAACTCTGAAATGTATATTGTTGAATTTCATCCCAGTTAGTTCTCTATCCAAGGGCCTCTGGGCCAGGGTTTGCCTCACCCCAGCCTCATTGTTCTGTATTCCTGGATCATCAGTGACTATCCAGAGATGAATAAGAATAAAGCAAGTTATTATCCTCAGGGTATGAGATAAGGACCAGCTTATTTGTGGATTTCATTCTATGCTTTCACCTACCCTTTTCTCACATAGCCCAAATCCACTCATAACCTTTCTGAGATTAAGGAGGTGAAATTCTACCACAGCTTGAGTGGCTGGAATAACCTGATGCAAAGCCCCTAGTAGAAGCTTTCTCTACCTAGTTTTAGCATTTTCCGTCCTGCCCCCATAGAGACATTTATATAAAGGTAATTGAGCAGAAATGTGATCAAACTGGAAGAGTGGCTTTAGCCCCAGTCCCTTTCCACACGCTGTAGGGTGAAAAACTGAATTTATCATTTCTTTGCTACAAGAAAAGTATATATATTTGGTGCACAGCAAATCCAGACTCAAATATTAGTGAGTCTTTATTGCATTAAGAAAAATAATCACACTCCCCAGTCTACAAGATGCATTTCTTTTATAAAATAAGCACATAAGGGAAAAGAAAGTCCCAAAATAGCCAAGGCACTTGTATCACAATGGAATAAAGGAGGCTCGCTCTTCTACGCAAAGATTCTAACTGCAGGTCTCGTGAGCAGAATTGGTGTTTTTGCTAATATAAAATGGCATACTCACAAGACCCTTTGCAGGATTTCTAACTCGGAAGAAGTAAACTACCAAGGAGGTGGGTAAGAGTTCCCACACGAAAAGCACCACTCCAAACACCACATAGCCAGCATCTCCCAGCTGATTCTTCAAATCTGCCTATAAAAAGGGGAAGAGATGGCATCATCAAACTAATGGCAGAGGAAATACTTTTGACTCAATTCTGACTTAAACAGAACCATAATATGGTATGATTCCTTTCCACTAAAATGTGCATTGTGTAATCAGGTAATAGTCCCAGCCTTTCAGGATTATTTAAGTCAGGAATGGATAATTGTCTTACATAAAATACTCAAACACCCAATTTCTGATGTTTATGACTTCATCCCCCAAAACTCCTGTGTCCAATTTAACTTGCTCACTTAGATCTATGCTGATTTTATTTAACAACTGAGTAGACTGTTAGGTTGCCTCCTCCTCAGTTCTTGAGAGTAGCATGTGATTTACCCTTAACTCTCATCCTAGAATAAACAAATTTTTGAGCTTCACATAAGCTATACCCTTTAAAGCTTACTGAAGTCTAGCTAGTCTATCAAGTCCTTATAGCACCAGACACTGGGCTTTGGCCCAGGGAGATGGCCAGTGAGGCTCAGCAACACAGTGTTCTCCCTTCAGCAGACAGGCGGTCCATAAGAAAAGGGGACCCAGATGTGAGAAGCTCCAAAAAGAACAACATTTCAAACAAGGAGAAGGCACTGGAGGGCCAGGCACCTAACTTCCTTTTGCCTTCTTTAATGCATCATGTGGAAGACAAAGGAACCAAAACTACTCGTCTCGTTTTCCAGAAGGACCCTAATCACACTTCACGTCCTTCACCTGTACTACAGTTCAGCCAACTTTTTCCAGTCTGCACCAAGAACGTGTGCAACTATGGCCATTTGTTTTATTGTTCCTAAATTATTTGGGCTGTGACACATAAGTTTAGAGCATAACAAAATAATTCCCCCAAAACAAAAGCATTTTAAAAACTGATTATACTCTCAATCCATGGTAATTATAAGCTCTTGACTGAAAGAAAAGCAAATGGTAAAACTAAATCTTTGTTGTTTAATGGAGCTTCAGTTTGGGAAGATGGAAAAGTTCTGGAGGTAGATGGTGACAGCTGCATGAATATTCTGAGTGCACTGGTCTACACATGTAAGGACATTTAATGTACATTCTGCAATATGCAAATCCTTTGTGCATTATGAAAGATGTATTCATAATTAGTCACTATTTAGCTTAGGTTTTTATATATTGGATTTTGTTAAAACAAGGCACACCCTGCCAGTGCCTGGCCCAGCTTTCTCCCGTCTGCACTTGTGGCCCTGGGCTCAGTCTGGGATTGCTGTGTTATTGCTGTTGTTCGATTCTCCGAATGATGACATCTCACATGGACCTCTCGTTGATTTCATCTTGTCCTCTGGATCATCCTAGTCATTTTATTCTTTCTCTCCCTGTCTTAATTCAGTTCTGCTGGGATTTTAGCAATGGACATAGTTTAATGTGTACTGTTATTCTAAGGAAACCTAAGGAGTCCATCAACCCAACAGTCTTCTAATAGAGAGACATTTCTGTACTGTAATGGCATGTGTGTGCGCACGCATGTGCATGCATCGTCTGCCTCCCTTCGGACCATAAACCTCCCCACTGCCCTGGGACAGTTAATGTTTGTGTCCTGGCACTCTGCACAGAGCCTGACACCAAAAGTCAGGATATGTCAAATGAGTGAATGCCAGCTCATTCTCATTTTTGACTCTTCTGAGCTATTATGAGCATGGATGTCAGACATTTCACTACCTGCGTTCCTTTGCTTACAGTTTATAAATTATGAATTCATAAAATGTGAGAATCATATTAGACCCCTGGTGCCATGAGCTTTTACTAAACCATAATATCCTCATCACTGTTGTATATATGCTCCATTAAGTCTCAAAACTTCATAGTTTTGGGTACTTTCTTGAACCTAATATAATTTATTTTAGCAAATTTTACCCTTTAATAACACCATCTTATATGGAAGCAGGTAAAAATTTTAAGTACTTCTAAGCAAGATCCGTGAAGTGGAAAGGAGAATGGAGTGCGTGTACCTGTGCCGGGTACTCATGTGTGCTTGTGTGCATGTGCACGCACACACCTACACATAGCTCACCTAGCTTTCTCAGAAAATGTTACAGGAGCAAGGTACTGTGGTCCCATCAGACAGAGGAAGGTGCAGATACCACACGGGAAGTCCTCTCGAAGTCACTCAGCTATTCATTACAAGTGAGGGGCTTACCCTCTGCCACCTGGAGTGCCACAAAGCAAACCCCTTATGGTATCCTCACTGACCTGGTCAGATACATTGTACCAGTCGTAATCGAAGGAGTGGACATTCTCAATCTGAGAAAACGACAAGATGAACAGGTTGTAGCACGCTCTCGAGGTGTAAAGCAGGATGACGGTAACACCAATGGCAGTCACTTGACACACGGAAGAGCCCTGGAAGAGAGCCAGCAGGGGTGGGTCACACCAGGTCCAGGACACTGGCCCCATCCCTTTCCCTCACCTGCTGTCACCCGGAGCCTCAGGGGCTCAGGCACTGCAGGAGCGGCCTTCAGGGCTTCTGTCAGAGCCCCACACCCAGGCCTACTGTGTCCACCCCTCCTCGCATCCTAGGCAGCCTCTTGTGGGGAAGACCTGGGCCTTGGTTGGAAGATGCTTTTAATAGGGTTAGATATGAGCCCTTTGCCCAAGGCCTACACTGTAAAGAGCCACAAAGCCAGAGGGCTTCTCTAAAATCACTGCACAGCTCATGAGCCCAGGCTGGGTCGGGCTGAGGGACTGGCTAGGAGCAAATGTGCTGAGATAGTGCACCAGATGTACCAGATGTGAGTTCTTCCTCAAAATCCACAGCCTTCTAAGCTGCAAATACAGGAGTCCTGATGTGACCCTGGGATTACATGGAAATCTGTGACTCAAGCCCCACCTTAGAAAGCTATCAATTTCTAAAGTCAGTTAAAGAGCCTTAGCGAGAAATGGATAACTAACATTACCAAAAAACACTAAAGTTGATTTTTGAGTTTTGCATTTGGAAGTCATTACCTAAATCCAAAACATTATTTTGCCAGTAGTTCTGTTAGCTTGTGTGTCATATGGGTGAGCTAAATGGCATTTTGACAATCTATGACTTAACTCCAACTGTTAAAAATTAGTTTTATTTTTTTTTAAATCCTTGAAATAGCCCCTAAATGGGAGATGAAACAGTAAAGGTAAAATCAAGTCTGAAATTCATCACAATTTATAAATCCAAGAACTACTTCGTCACACTAACTTGCAAGATTTGCAAGAGGTCAGCTAAATGAGCATCCTGATGAGGGCTTCATATATTTGAAGTTAGATGCACAGATTTTTAATCTGATCCCTTCTGAAGACATAGTGGGAGACAAACTGCCCCTTCATATCGGACATTCTGGCAAATGGGCCCCAAGAAAGATGGACACAAGTATGCCATGGGACTCCCAGGCCCTGCGCCTCAGCAGCACAGGAGCTACAGTTGTCACTCAACCATTTGGTGAGTGGAAAGGCGAGGGGCTGGGGCCCAGCAGTACTCCCGGCCCCCATGCTCACCAAGCTTCTGGGCTGAGGTTCAGAGTCTGTTTATGAAGGAAATCTGGGGAACCTAGCTGACCACAAGCACTTTAGTACCAGAGCATATTTGCCCTTCATTCTAGTTGGGGACTAGGCTATGAGGCACACCAATGGGAGAAAAGAATAGTCCAGGAGCATCCCTCCTGCTCATGTCTAGTTGTTTCTGAATATTCATCAGGAGAGGAATGTTCTTAATTCCAGGAGGCATCCCTACTGCTAAGGACAGGCTGCTTGAGGGCTGCCTAGAATCCGAATGGATCTGAGGGTCCCTGGCAGTGCAACAGCAGCACGACACCACAGTGTGGATCTCAGCTATGCACCTGATAGCCATGTGGCCAACAGCCAGCTATTTGAGTTCTCCATGCCTCAGTTTTCTGACCCATAAAGTGGGGATGAGATCTTGTCTCCTCCCACAGAGCTGTGAGGGTTACATCCGCTCGTGCACATGACTGTTTGCTATTAGTGCTGTTGGTACAGCCCATCCTACCCGCCTTTAAAGTGTTGGGTTAAACTCTGTATCTACAAATCAGACTGTGCACACCAACACACCGAGCCATCTGGCATGGAGCATTTCCTGCCTACAAGGTTCAGTGAACTCCCACTCCCCTGTCTGGCGACCACTGTGTGGTTAATCATTTGCAAGAGGACAGGCGTGATAAAGGATTTGTGTTGTGTCCTGTTTGCAAACCAGGAAACTACTTTTAGAACAGATTTTATGAGAGGAAATTCTTGACCACATTCCCACCCTACCTTCGACTCCAGGTAAATGTTGGCTAAGGACATCTTAGAGATTTTGTAGAGACAGATGGAGAGAGACACGGCACACAGCACGAAGAGCGTGTCATTGATGGCCACTCGCACAGAGACGATGACCTTCCTCTCCCAGTTGCCTGTTTTCACCAGCACAGCGCAGGTTAAATTCACCAACAGGAAAATGAGACTAATGAAAAGCGAGGCCAGGTAGAGGGGCAACCTGGAAAGAACAAGAGGGAAACTGAAGGCATCGGTTCCTGCATGCTGGGTACATGTCAGAGGGAAGTCATCATGTGTTTTAGTTAATGCACCAAAGATAACATCAAAGAGCTTGGACCCTTGGCCACAGACATTTCCAGATACAAATGACAGACTAACCACAAATTCTGCCCCTAAGGGTCCTTCATGATATTCCCCATCTCCAGGAGGTCACGAGGAGAGCTCTCTCTAGGAGAGCGCTCTCAGGTATGGACTGGCTCATATGAATGGCCCCAGAACACTCCCATATACAAGGATGGAGACATGTTAAGAGTCAAAAGCTCGGGCACAGAGGCAGGGATCCAATGTGAGCACTGGCCATTCTGCATGGTTAGACCAAATTGTAGGCAAATTAGGCAAACTGTAACTTCTTTGAGCTTTAGTTTCCTCACCTGAAAATAAGACCATATGATCCCTACTTCACAGGTTGGTGGTAAGGATGAAGGGAAGCCAGCCCTCCTTAGCCACGGGGTGCACATCTCAGACTCAACCAAAGACCCAGGTAATTTTTGTCTCTACTGAACACGTACAGAATCCTTCTCTCGTGATCACACAGTGTGACATCTACACAAAGCATTTACATAGTCTAGGTACCTTAAGTAATCCAGAGATGACTTAAACTGCATGGAAGGACGTGTGTAGGTCATAAGAGACAAGTGTCCATGCACTTGGCTTCAGGTCCCAGAAGCAGTCCCCACAGACACTCACGTACAGCTGTTTGTGTGATACAGTTATTTGTACAATGCAGTTTGTCCCCCAAAAAGTCATTAATGGAGTCCAAAAGCCATCAAGGGAGTCCATTCATGTGACTGAAAATGTGCCATAGCTAGACAGATACAACTCAGTTTTTCAAACTCAGTTTAGAACACGCCTTGCCTAAGACCTGTGTGCAGTCAGGCTTATCCACACCCCACCCAGGAGGTGTGCAGATGAGGACTGGCCTCTCGAACTCAGAAATGGAATGGTTTGAGGATGTCCATGAGTCAAGTCAGAGGACACAGAGCTCTTGATCAAAAGATTTTTGAAGCTACACAGGGATTGATGGCATCTTCAAAAGCTATCACAGATCAGGACGAGGGAAACCTGGTTTCTAGGCCCAGCTCCAGATATTACTGATGACAGGGCAGGGTGGGGGACAGAGACGGGGAGAGGGAGAAGATAGATGGAGACTGGTACAGAGAGAGGAGAGAGAGGCTGAGGCCAGTGCCTAGCCACAGGCTTGCATCTTGCGTGCAGCTAAAGTGTGAAATAAGACACTTGGACCAAGGTGAAAGGGACTTTATGTCTTGGAATACTTACTCCCTACCAGTAAAGTCTCTCACGAAACTCAGACCCTGGGCTCTACCAAAGTGCTGAGCCTGCCTGGCTCCCGCAGGCCACAGCCCTCAGCCTGGCAGAGGTCACCCAGAGCTGTGCCAACTCCCCCACACACTTGCACACACCCATGATTTCAGACATCTGCTTCCCTGTGCTGGAGCCTCACAGACTCGCAAAGCTCCTAACAAAAGGGGAGATGATGACCCCTGTGCCTGCCCCTACCTAGGCAGCAAGTTCAGTGACACCCAGCCTCAGGCTGTTCTCCACCCCGGTGTGCACACAATAGGGACAGGGACTCCCTGCATGCATTTCCAGAGGGAAAGAGAAGGACTCATACAAAACGCCTTATGCTGGGCATCTGAACATGGTCTGCCCTCCTGTCTCCTGGAAACGCCACAGCTGCTGTAGGGTCTCTTGCTGAGGGAGGACCTGATGGGAGGAATGACATCTGCCCAGGAGGGGAGAAAGGACTGTAAGCACCTCTTCAGGCCTGCGCTCAGGTGCTGGGGAAGGTGCCACGGCACAGACCAAGTGCCCCACAGGCAGGGACAAGGTGTGCAGACCCGTGGGCTGAGAGGCACAGGCAGGCCATTGGGGATGGCAGAGCAAAGCAGTGTGGACAGCAGCACAGGGGACATGCAAGGATAAGCAGCAGAGGAGCAATCGAGGTGACTGCTGGAGTCTTGAGGAAGCCATGTGTGGCATGGCGCAGAGCCCGAGTGAGACCCAGAGAAGCAGTTCCACTCCGGGGAGCTCTGATGGAAGTGCTGGCCCCTGGCCAAGGAAAGCAGCACAGTCGGCACTCAGGGACCTGGACTCAGGCATGGCGAGAGCTGCCAGCCCCAGCAGGGCTCCCCTGTGAACAGAGCCCCCTGGTGCTGTGCCTGGGGTCTTGTGAAGTCTCAGTGACTCCACTGTGGGCCACCATGCACTGGAGGCTTTTCAAGCAGGAACAAACGTCTTTGGAAAAGGAAACATTAGCGATGTGCCAAGGACAGGTACCTTTCCAGATCATGGTCTCTGATCAGGTCCTTCAAATCCACTTACTCTTTCCTCTGCCACAGCCTGCAGTTCCCTCAGCACGCAGCACCTCCCCAACGAGACTGTGGCACCCGAAGGACCAGGACCCTCTGAAGCGCCCAGCCCCAACTGGCTGGGCCACTGCATGTGAGTGCTCCTGGCTCCTGCCCACCCCGGCCCACAAGGCTCTGCTTCCCATTCTTAGGTCTCCACCAGGATCCTCTCACCACAGGGACAGTGTCCCCTTCCTGAAATCTGTGGTGTGTCCTGGGTCAGAGTCAGGAAATGAGGCAACACACGTGCAACCTCAGGCCAGGCCCCTCCCTCCTCTCTGGAGCAAGACAGGTGCCCAAGACCATCTCTAAAAGGATGCCAATGGGGTGCTGGACAGTGCCAGGCTCAGGGGAACTTGTTACAGATTTTTGTCTGTTCTCTATTATGTATTCTAGGGATAGAGACCTCAGGGCCACTTGGAGTCACCAATCTGCATTCTGGTTCCTGGAAGCCATTTTCCATGCTTCACAGAGCTCTGCTGTGCTTTTGTGAAGAACACACACTGCAGATGTTGAGAACCCTCGTCACAGCAAGGGGGGTCCCAAACACAGGGCATCCAGTGGCAGCCATAGCCCAGGAGACAGCACAGACTGACCGTGGACCTTTCCACGTGACTCCTCAGAGTTGTGGTTTCATATGATTAAATTACAGATGTAAATTCTTATCTCCCTTTTATTGAAAAAGCAATGTGCCCTGGGAACACACCTCCAGGGTAGAGGGCAAGGAGAACAGGCATGGTGCGCCACCCGGCATTGCTGGGTACCACTGCGTGAGGCACCCACTACTGGCACGGCTACTCCCAGTGTTCCCTTTCCCATCTGTGTTTCCACACCAAGCCACCAAGCCTTCACTCCACTCCTTCCTCCCCTGCCTGTCCCTCTGCCTGTGCACAAGGAGAGAAAGTGGTGTGGTAGGCAGATGGAGTAGGACATCACCTGAGCTGAAGCTGTGACATGACACGAGTCTCTGGGCCACTCTGGGCTACAGTCTCCTCTTCTCTGCAGAGATGATTTGCTTCTTGGAGGACTTAACGGGACCAGAGCCTCCTTTCTCTGCTTTCTCTCCTTGTTCAAAACTCAGGGCCTCCACAACCAACCCCAGTCTGCCTTGTTAGATTGACAGCCTCTAGTCTTTGCCTCCTCCTGCTATCACCAGCACTCCCCGGCACTCGCATGTAAATATGACACAAGCATGTAAATAGCTCCGCCATCTGGTCACTGGATTCAGAGGACTGCTCAGCCTTCCTGGGTTCCCCTCCATCTCCTGCAGCCCTGCACCCCACCCATTCCTTGTCTTAAGGATGGCGTCCTGGGTGCGCTCTCCAACTTCCACCACAACTTTTCTATGACCAAGTTCAAAAATCTCATCTCAGGCTCTGCCTCTGCCCCAAGCAGACTCAGGCCCCAATGGCCTGCCATTAGGAGGCCCTGTCCCTCATGCCAGCGTGTCCTAGACTCAGCTTCTGATTTCCCAACCACGCTCTGAGTTTTCTCCTTTGTAAGAAGCAACATGATTTTTCACAGAGCTGTGAACTGTGAAAGTCATCTCCAATTCCCACTCCTCTGTACAAGCCACGGTCAAGGTCCACAGATTCTTCACCCACTTCTCCAATCTGTGCCTCCTTTGCCAGCCTCGCAGCTGCCACGCTGCCTCCTAGCTCTGGCCAGAACTCACCTCGGTCCTCAACAACCCTAACCCAGTCACCAAGGCAGGTCGTCTATGGATGCCAAACAAGCTCCCAACCTGGCTGGGTGTCCCCACCCGCCATCCTCAAGCCAGCTGACCGTTCTGCTTGCAGCCTTCCTCCTCGTGATTTCTATCAAATCCTAGCCCTGAGCCTCTGGAGGCTTTGCAGCCTGCTACACAGAAGTCTGCTATCAACTTAAAGAAAGAGGCTGTGTTGGGAGATTAGAAAGAATTTGGGAAAAAAAATATGTATGATCTTATGTAAGTTAAAAAGTTAGAACGCAGAACTGAAGTATGAGAACAGTTCTGTCCTGGGAACTGCATGTGAAGACCAGGACCTGCGACAGGCTACCCAGGGCATCGCTGTAGAGTGGGGAGGCTTACGTTGAGGGGAGGGGCTTGGTAGGTGTGTTTTCTTTCTTTTCACATGACTATACTATTTGAGCATTTCTAACCCAAAAATCTGAAACCCCAAAGGCTCTGAAATCAGAAACTCTTTTTTTCTCTGCAGTGCTGGGGATTCAACCCAGGGCCCCGCAAATGCTAGGCAAACACTCTGCCACCGAGTCACACCCCCAACTCTGAAATCGGAAACTTTGTGAGCACTGAACAATACCTCAAAATGTTTTCAGATTTTAGAGCATTTCAGAATTCTGACTTTGGGATTAGGGATGCTCAGCCAGTGAAGTCTATGCAAACAGTCTGAAATCCAAAAACAGCCCACCCTAGCAAAATGAGAGAAAATATGAAAGGAAAAGAGAATCATATGAGCCAACATCTGGGAGGATCATTCTGAGACCACCACCAGCCGCGAGAGGTGTGTGTGGCCACTGCTCAGGACACTCCACCCATGGCCCCGGAGAGGCAGACATGCGCACTGCCAACTCAGACATTGCCTCTACCAGGGCGGGGGGGGGGGGGGGGGTGACCAAAAAAAAAAAAAAATCAATGGGTTGCAGATGTTTGAATTCCTCTCCTAATATCATAGACTTCTTAAGGGAAATGCAAAGCTGGGCTCCTTACATTTTGTACTTATTCAAAATCAGAAGAGGAAAGAAAACACTTGAAAATCCTTAAAAATCAAAGTACTCTTGAACGCTCCCATGCCCTGCACTGCATTTTCTGAGCCAAAGAGATTAAGAGAGAGACTGGGAAAGAGGAGAACTGAATCAAATTGGCATCAACCCCAGCAAAACTCTGAGCCATCTCATGTGTTAGGAGAAGGGGGCTTTTGGCTAGGAAATAAAGTGGTTCTTGGCTGGGTTGATATAAATTATCTTCAAAAACAGAACTGCTGCCGGAGCAGCTTGGGATGGGAAGCCTGAACTAGTTCTAGACTAATGGCTCGTGTTTCATCTCAGATGAGTCATGACTGAATTAGGGAAGCCAGCCTGTTGAGAAGCCACAGACCAAAGCATCTCAGGGACAAATAGTGGCTTAAAATGTCTGTAGTGGCATCTAGTTTAAGAGAAACGGGAAGTTAAACAGATGATACAAAGACTGCGCCCCAATGTGAATAACTCCTAGGACCGTATTATACTTGGCAACTCAATTATTAGGTCTGAGTTAACAGGCTTCGCCCATTGAACCTCTCCCTGCTGCTTCAAGAAAACCTCCACCTTCTCTGGCCCAAACATTCACTGTTAACATCTGGGTCCCACCACAGTCCCCCACCTCCCATCTTTCCCTCCATCTCTGCGAGTCCCCCTCCCAGTAAGAACAGCTGCAGATACTCCACCCCAGGACCCCAGCCCTAGTGCTCCAGGCCAAAAGCTTTTCTAGCCATTTCCTCTCTAACCAGTTTTTTCCTATTCCACTTCTGAGAGATGCCTAATTACCCAGCCTCAACCAGTCATTTCCAGGATGGATCAGCTCCCTGATCCAGGCAGAATATATTCTTCTCCACCCGATTTCACTCATTCCTTGTTCTAGGCCTCCCAGATGATCTGTATTTGTCACCAGAAGCGGGAGAACCATCTCCTTGGACTCGCTACAGGTTGAATATTCCTTGTCCGAAATGCAAGAGACAGATGTTCTCAGGTTTTACACACATCTAGATTTTCAAATATTTGCATATGTATAATGAGATATCTTGGGGTCGGAGCCTAAGTCTACACAAACAAAAATCCATATATGCTATATACAGAGCTTGAAGTTAATGTCACATAGCATTTTTAGCGTGCCGACATTTTCACTGTGACCCCTCTCTTGAGATCAAGTGTGGATTTTTCCACTTGTGGCATCATGATGCTCAAAATTCATTTTGAGGGCATTTTGTGGGGCTTGGGGTTTTCAGATTAGGGATGCTCAGCCTCTTCTGGAGCAACGGTCATTTCCCAGTGAGCTCTAAAGTTCCAGTTGAACAGTCTGGTGGAAATGAAAACTAAACTATCTAAAAAGCAGTGCAGAGAGCTCAGGAGAGCAGGAGAGAAACAAGACAAGGCAGCTCCCACAGCCCCAGGACCCGCCCGGCTGGCCCCAGCCACTTGCTGAACTTCAGAGGATCGTTCTCAAGTCACTTCCTTGCACGTAAACTGAGAGACAATACATTAAACTCTCAACATAATTCAGATTACATACATATCCACAGGAACTGGTCTCAGGACCTCAAGATTACCAAAGTCCATAGCTGCTCAAGTCCTTCTATAGCAGTGGCATGGTATCTGCACAGAACCTGCACTTCTGCCACACAGTTTAAGTCATCTCTGGAGGACTTTTAACACCTAATGCACTATAAACACTATATAGACAACCATTAGATTGTTGATAAGGGGGAAAGTCTGTATGTGTTCAGATGAAATACAATTTTTTTCTGAATATTTTTGATCCACTGTTGATTGAATCCATGGAGCCAAGGATAGGGAGGACCAATTGCATTTAAATAAACAACTTTAACTTATTTTTAAAGTAACAAAATAATTATTCATCTTGACCCAGGACGGTGACTCGCCTTTCCAGAACATGCTCCTTGGCCCTGCCCTCCCACTGCCCCTCCAGCCAACTCTGACCATTCTTTAAGCTACTGGCTCTTGGCTTTAGGGAGTCGCAGATCTTTGAAAATCCGTGGAAAGCTACCGATCCTGCCCACAGGAAATGTATGTGGTGCCACCTCTTCCCATGCAGCCCAGGATGGAGATGCACCACACTACAGGCATGGGGCATATGCTGCCTTTTCTGATTCTGCAAAGTTTTATGTCACTTAGGACATCTTTATAAGCAGAGCAAACACTTCTCACCCACTCTCCCTCCTCTGTGTACTGAAGGGTCAAACCCGGATCTCTCTGCTGGATGTGGATGAACGCCAGCAGGAGGCTGGCAGCAAGTTACAATGACAGGGCAACGGAAGGAGGGGTTCTGGAAAACATGGAGCCTGCCCACCATCAGCAGCTAGCAACGGGACTGCAGGGAAGAGGCACTGCCACAGGGGCACCTGACCAGGGGTGCATGGGGTGGGAAGGGAACCTGGCCCTGCACTGGCGCCCACAGGAAACCCATTTCCTTCTGCAGAGGCCCTGTGCCTCTCCAGTGGCCCTCGGGCCTACCTCCTGTCTAGGAGGTAGATGGGTTCCTGTCTACCACCTCCCTGCTCGGCCAAGGCACCAGGCTCTTGCTGAACAAGGAGCACCCACTGTGAGACCCGGAAAGTCCTAACTCAGAGGCTGACTCTCACAAGGAAGAGAGACAATCTCCCAGGCAAACGTCACCACACAGGATCACTCCAGGGGCTCACGGAGGGCCGCCAAGTGCTTTACATACCAGCGCTTTCACCTTCTGCCATGGAGGTAAACGTCCCGGACACTTACCGGTATTTGAGTAATTCTGGAGAGTACTTAGACTTGGCTTTGAAGATCACCTGCAATGACAGGAAACAATGAGGGTAGTGTACCCACGCTGACACAATGCCGCCACCACCTGGAACCTGCCTGCACACCCAGGCCTGCACACCTTGCCTGAAACAGACGGCCACCTTCTGTGAGAACTTCTTTTATATACACCGATTTTTCAAGTCATGCATGTCATTTTAAATGTTTGAAGTAAAGGTATTTAAAAATGGTTAGAATGATTTAAAAAGGATAACCAAAGTGAAGGTGGCACTGATCTACTGCCAAGTGCTTCTCTTACTTTGACATTCTTGGTTGAGACCAACAGTTCACCCTTTTCACTAGAATTTTCACTGGCACCAAATTAGCATTGCTCAAATGTGCCCACCTACCCAGACCTCACGTTTGCAGTGTCAGATAACAAAACATCTTGGGAGTACAGAGTATTGAACTGGAGTGTTTTTCTCTAAGAGGAATACTGCAGATTACACTCTCTCCGGTGCTTCAGAAGCCTTCTCAATGGCTGGCATGCAGGCACAGTGGCTGATGTGCGGGCACGGTGGGTGCAGCATTCCGCCTGGAAGAGCCATGGAGCAGGTGAAGGGGAGGCAGAAGCAGGAACCTACTGGCTTCCACTCCAGGCAGGCATGGCTGCCACTGCATTCATGGATGAACCTCACTGGGCTTCTGGGGGGGCCAGGCAGAGTGACAGCATGTGAGCTCCTGGTCCAGCTCTCCCTCGACCCCTGGTGCTTAAATGGTGGTGAGTACACTGAGAGAAGGAAAGGCGGAAATCTAGAGTGGAGAGGTGAGGATTTCCCTCCAGAGATGTGCACGGCAGCTCAGAGGACCCATCTTCCAGCGGGTCTGGACCCTCCAACCAACATCTCCCTACCCTCTCCCAGCCACCCTCCTGCTCAGTTCATCTTTTAGAGTCTACACTGCAGTGATACGGGCAGTGCTTGTCTGTGCCTGGCTAGTTTCACTTAGCGTGATGTCCTCCAGCTCCATGTCAGCAAGTCCTAGAGACCTAACCCAGCCTGGTGGCAACAGTTAACTGCACCATGTCACATACTTGAAATCTGCTAGGAGGGTAAAGCTCAAGTGTTCTCCCCGCAGAAAATGGGAGTAACCATGTACAACGACGGAGTCTCCATCAGAGTGATTGTGGGCATCATTCACTATAAACATATATGTCAACACGTCACATTGCACACCCTGAATTTCAAGATTTTTGTCAATTATAGCTCAATAAAGCTGGGGGAAAAAAGGACTCATTCCCTACTTCTAAGCAAACTGTTCTGTATGGACTTTCTAAACCTGCCCTTGACCTCTGGGCCTTTTCTCTTGCAGCCCTAGGCCACAATGTTCCCGGGAGCCCCACTACCCCTTAATCTGAATCACCCTCCTGGGAATCCCCTGGTGACATGCGCCTACCCTCTGCACATGGCACTCCTCTCAGGATCTGCTCAGTTCCTGCAGTATTTGTCTAAGGGACAGATACATATCACCTGAGGCCAAAAAAAAAAGTGTCCGGCAGAAGCTTGGGCCCTGGTGTGTGGGAGGCACAGGCAACCCTGAAACCACAGTAGGCACAGTTGAGTACAGTTGTCCCTTGTCTGAGGAGGAAGTGGGAGCTGGTTTGCTGGACGGGTAATCTGAGGGGAACCCCAGGAAACCCTTAGTGGACCTCAGGTGCCTGAGGATTCAGAGAGACTGTGGGCTGATATGTGAGGCACCCTTAGGAACCTTCTAGAAAACATTCTTCTGATGACCTTCTCAGCATATCTCAGAATTTCATATACAGAGGAATCCCCTGGGGAACTTTTAAAAAAACCAAGCCCCAGGCCCCCTTTTGGAGATCCCAGTCCAGAGGGCCAGGGGCAGGTTCTGAGGGCCAGGCAGAGGCCCAGGATCTCAAGTTCACTAAGTTCTCCACGTGGTTCTGACATCGCCAGCCCAGGACTACTGGGAAAATGCTGACCTAGAGAGAATGAGCTTCCTGACGTAATACACCATGGAGCTGTGGATCATTAGAACATTCTGACCAGTGGTAGTTCAAATGTAAAACCTTCTAAAATGGCGGGGCAGCCAACCCACTCTAAGTCAGAGCAGTAGTGTCAACATGTGGGGTAAGAAGCGGGGCACGGAGAATACACTGCTGCAGCCAGCCCCCATCCACACTACATGTCACCCTGAACTGCCAGGAATGTGCCACCAGGGAGGACTACAGGGCAAACAGTCACGGAGGGGGTGGATACAGGTGTTCCCACAGGTTTCAGTCAGGCGGCTCCCTGTCTCCATCTCCCCAGCAGGTGAGCCTGCCAGCTACCTGGAGGGATGCTGTGGTTTCTGACAGAAGCTTTGTCACTATCCTAAACTCCTTTTGGAAGTAGGTAAGAAGTAGGGGTTCACCCATGAATACACTGAGACCCTAGGGGCTCTGGTCATGACACCACAGATCAGTGTCCCTGCCTGAGTCCTGACCACCTGTCATGGGATGGGGACCAGGCACATCACCTTTGGTACGTCCCTGCCGCCCACAGTAAGTTACAGCCTCACTTAGGAGCAAGGAACTGATTAATACCTGACTCCGAAGTTCTGTTACAAAATTTAACAATAACCCTACAATTCAACAAGCCTTCCTGTTAGTACTTAGGATCTTGTTTTTAATGACAGAGGCTTCTTCAAAATATCAAAGCCAGGAGAAGCAGCTACACTATCTTTTTTTAAAATTCGGCCTTGTCATAGAAATACACAACTTTCTTTTCAGATTGTGTGCCACAGTGGTGAGGCTCACTGGAGTGAGGGGACTCAACTCTGTCTACTCTACCCAACACCAGACACAGCTGCACTGCAACTGTGTCACCCATGGGGTCTCCAAGGGAGTGTCAGCCTCAGCCAGGGCACAGCCTGGGAGCACTGTCCTGGGGACTCAGCTCTGTGCCAAGTGCCACTGGGAACAAGGGAGGAGGATGTGATGAGCCCTGCCTTCGGTGGGCTTGAGGCGCTCCTGGAGAGGCAGGACCCAGACACACAGACCACAGCAACAGAGGACCCCAGAGGCTCCAGCCTCAGCTGGTCAGAGCAGAGACCCGGCTTGCAGGTCATGGGCTCAATCCTGGGATGCCATGTCGGCCCTTCTCTGCTCCTTGGCACCTGCTACAGATGTAGCTCTTGGTCACAGGAGGACAGAGGAGGGGTCTGGGTGGATTAGGGTTCATCCATGGCTACTCTGGGGTCTCTACTCATTCCCACTCCTTGGGCAATGCTGTGTCTCTTGCCTGGGACCTACGGAATGGCTTCCCCAGCTGCAAACAGGCAGTGAGGCCCACCTGTCCCCAGCCTGCCCCCACTGCCCCTCCCCCACTCCTTTACAGAGAAAGCATTTCCTCACTTCCCTCAGTCCTGGCCCCTGCAGCCCCATCCCTTTCTAGACCTCAGTGAAAGACAGAGTTTCCTATGATGGTCACCAAGGATTCCGTCCAGTCTGAGTCTTACAAACATTTATATGCTTTGCCCTAATAATTCCACTTGTAAGAATTTACCCTCAATTTCTCAAACTATTCCGGCAGAATTGGAAATTAACAACAAATATTATTAAACACAATGTCACGTGACCAATTTTAGAAACCAGTAGGAAAACACTCGTTTCCCTCCGGGAATTCTCAGAACCTTTAAAAAGCTAGTATGTTGTCAGTCTCCAAGGGAAATGCACAGGATGAGCAGGTAGGTGGCACCAGGAGGCGGCAGCCTGAAGCCAGGCCAGGAGTGTGCAGATCCCTAGGTAAGAGATGCTGAGGACTCAGCAGAAAACTAACATCACTACAGAAGGAGAGGGGTCAGGGTTGGGGAACAGAGCAAATGGCCAGCAATATGACTAACAGAGAAGGTGAACACAGGTGTGTGTTTAAAAGCAAACCAGAGACACGGAAGATCAGAGGCTGCCTAGGCCCAGGGGAGGGGAGGTGGGGAGTGACCACTATTGGGTGCAGGATTCTTTTGGGGATGATGAAAAAATTTCTAAAGTTGATTGTGGTGATGGCAGCCATCTCCATGAATACAGTACAGTTCTCAGTAGGACTTCTATCTCAATGAAGCTGCTAAAAATAAAAGGCCTAGAGAGGAAGTCCAGCAGGCCCCCCTCAGTCGCAGTGGCCTCTCTGCTGGGTGGGGACGATCTGCAGGAGGTGAGGCAGGATAATATTCCATCCATTCTGGGGAGCGAAGGAGGGCCCTGGGGAAGTTCACGGCCACTGACGCAGGGGAGGAAGTGGGAGGGGTGAGTCAACTCCAGACACAGCTACTCCTCAAACATGTGTGCTGTGACAGGCAAGAGGTCACTCAGGGGTACAGGGCCCTCATTCCTAAGCCTGGGTGACCTGAGAGGGACCCAAGGAAGGCGATGCAGGCAGAGGCAGGGCCCACCGAGGGCCCCCTGGGGAGGGTGGAGGGTCCTGGGGGGTGAGGTCACACTGCAGGTTCCCAGTGGCTTAATGGAGACTTGATAGGAATGGCCAGTGAGTGCGGAGGGTCCTGCCTTCCCCTCCCGTCCCAGGAAGTCTGCAAAGTCCTGAACACACCAGGCTTCTCAGGGGTTGCCTATGGCAGCGATAGGGACAAAGGACGGGCGGGAGCAGAGCTGGAGGTCACGGTGAGCAGCAGCTCTCATGGGGGCCCTGCAGACGCAGCACTGCCTGCCCTCAGCAAGCTCCCTGTGCTTTTAGCATCACGATCTCTGCTTTTTAAAGTCCCACCTAGAACCCCGACAGGACTCAGCAGGCCTCTGACGGCAGCCTGACCTGGCTTCTCTGGTGACTGCTGGAAGAGGGAGCATGGGGACCCCGTGAGGTTACACGCTGGCCTCCTCACCCCCACTGTGGTGGCCCTGGGCCCCAGCAGTAGCCCTATGCCCTTTACCCGGCCCTTGCAGAGGACAAGGGCACCCAGGGGACCGCTGCTGACGTGTCTGTTCCTGCGGAAGCAGAAAGGCCTGCAGCCGCTGAGCCCTCCTCCTGACCTCCATCACAGC